CATAGCTCACATATTTTATCTAATTCTTTGTCTTATATTTGATTTAGTTATCTTGATTTAAGTTAATCAAATTTTTGCTAATGATGATCAACTGTTGGAAAATGATAAGAAATGAATTCAAAGTTTTTATTAAAAAAGAACAAGGACAACAAATCCTTGTAGATTGAGCGATGAATTTCCATGAGACCGAATTATTAAACATTTCCAACTTATAAATTGCTTCACGTTTCATTATAACTTAACTTTATGTTTTCAAGTAAACTTTACAATTGCAGTAAATAAGCATTCCTGAGATGCTTTACACATCCTACATTCCATATAATCGCACAAAAATAAAATATTTCAAAATATTAAACAACTAAATCACTCAATGCCCACTTATTACCCTATCAACGTACATTGAAACCAAATAATTGTATTTGGTCTCTTTCAGTTGTAGCAGAAGTCATTTTCTATGCAATCCATCGTACAACGTAATATTTTTTCCATTGATGTCTTTTTTTTTTACACTTAGATATGCATAAAAGGATTATTGGTTTGGGAAGTGTATTATTATATAATAATAAATTATTACACTATCAATTTAATATATTTCGTACATTAATAACGAAAATGAAAGATGAAAGTGTTGATGGATGTGTTAATTCATTCAAACAACGACAACATTTTTCGAGACGCGTAAAGGATGTTAAACCAAGCGTTTGGTATGTTTGTATAGCTCATTTTTAATTTTCTCTAGTTACATTATTATTTTTTTTTTTTTTACATAGTTTTTTTCACATATTTTCTCTAGTTATTATTTTTTTATATTGATATGCTTCTTATCTTTTTCTTTTTCTCAAAGTTAAGTAAACGGTAAGAAGTATATATACGGAACAATTTATTTGTTGTATTATTTGATATTATGTATATGTAATAATTTGATTCTTTTATATGTACATATGTATATTTAAGTTAAATAAAATAAAAGTAATGTGGTTTTGACAAACAGTAGTCGAAAATCGGAACAGTTTATTAAATTTGCAGGGTTGAATTTACAAGTTTAGCTGTAGAATGTAAAGCAGTCAATATTGGACCGGTGAATGAGTACTTCAATTAATTCAAATAGTTCGCTTTTAATTTTTTTTTTTCACCACGTATGTATTTTCATTGTATATCTTTATATGCTGTCCAAGATAGATTGAAGTTCCATCATTGTTTATAGGGTTTTCCGGACACTCCTATGCCAAGATTTGTAGCTGGAATGTTAGAAAGTGTTGCTAGACATCCGGAAAGAACTGATTGGCATCAGTATAGTCGAAGTTTCGGTTATCTAAGACTAGTAAGTTTTTACTTATTTTAAATCGGTTTGGTGTTTTTTCTTTTTCTAGCTTTCTTTGGTTTTTCTTGACTTTTCTGGCTACTTTTTAGACGAATGCTCTATCAAGACTTTACTCAAGCACACTGGGTGTAAATGTTGATGCACAGCAAAATGTTTTAGTAACCGTTGGGGCATATCTTTCACTATATTACTCATTCATGGGTTGGCTAAATGATGGTGATGAAGTAATCGGTTTGTATTTTTCATTCATTTATAAAGCGTATGTGATATGATAGGAAAATTAGATCAGAAGGGTAGTTCAATTGCAAGGAAAACATTGTAGATTATTATTTAGAATTAGCAATTTCACAAGCTAGGATAATAAGGTATGTAGTAAAATGTAGTTTTCATCGTTAATCTTGATATATTTTTAGCACTTGATCCGGCATTTGATTGCTATGTCCCACAAATTCGTATGGCAGGTGGTGTACCTGTACCAATTTTGCTTAATTTATCATCGGAACCTCGGAGTAGTAAAGATTATATGTTAAATGTGAAAGCGATTGAAGAGAAAATCAGCAATCGGACGAAAATGATTGTCCTCAATAATCCACACAATCCAACAGGAAAATTATTCACACGGTATATTGTCGTTTGCTGTTTTTTCTTTGACTTTTTTGTAATTGGGAAAATTTTCCAGCTGTTTTCTTTCATACCAATTTTTAACTCGTGGTATTAACGATTTGATTGAAAAGTAACTGTTATATTGCATCAATAACTTAAAAAAAAGTTTATTCAGACTTTTTCTTTAGCTTGCATAAAGTTTTATTATTTTCTAGTAATATTTCTTTACTTTACTTTTTTATAAACATTCATATTTTCATTTGTTACCTAATTTTTGTTGGTATTCTTATGGGAATTTATTGGGTCAATTTGAGCTATCTGTATATTGAAATATAAATGAAGAATTAATAACATAAGCTATTTCTATCATTTGTCATCAAAAAAATAGTCGGCAGACGAATAACACTGTATTATCTGGGTATAAATGGATCAAAAACAAAGAGCAAATTATAATATTTTTGCTGGGAAAAGCTGGAAAAAATAGCTAATGTTGTTGTTCGCCATAATTTACTGGTAATAGCTGATGAAGTATATGAATGGCATGTATATGGTGATAAGAAAATGATTCGCTTTGGTTGGTGTTAATATTAATTTAATTACATAGTGAGAAGAAAAAAACTTTTTTATAAAAGAACATTGAAGATAATTACTACTTTTTTAATATTACTTCCAGCTAGTTTACCGGATATGTATAGTCGTACGATAACTATTGGTAGCGCTGGAAAAGCATTTAGTGTAACAGGATGGAAATTGGGTTGGTCAATTGCGCCAGCTGAACTTCTTGAACCATTAAGACAAATCCATCAAAACTGTGTCTTTACATGCCCTACACCAATCCAGGTATATTTTTTCAATATTGCAATCGAATTAAGTTTTTTTTTTCTGTTAATTTCGGGTAGAGTTTTGTTGGTGTTAATATTTACAATATTTTATATCCATTGATGAAAATTAATATAAATTAATATATAAATAAAATTAATATAATACATTTAACTCTTCACTATGTTCTGTTGTATATTTTAACCTCTTACTATATTCTTTTATACATTCTAGGATATTAGAAAAATTTTTTATCTTGATAAAAGTACAACATAGACCATTCTTTAAAAAGGAAGAAATTTATATTAATCGATAAGAATTATTAACAGTGTGCTAATGTGACTGAAAAATAATGGAAACCAATGAAAATTAACAGCCATGTTCTTAGTTAACAATGTTTGGCTGTTTGACTGACAAAGTTAGTGCTGAAATAACTGTTACTATCGATGCATTCAGTGATTTGCAGCAAGCGGTTGCTGAGGCATTTGAGAAAGAATTAGATCTAATGGAAAATAACCCAACAGAAAGCTATTTGAAAAAAGGAATTAAGTCTGAACTAAGTCAACAAAGAGATCAAATGGCATCAATACTACGCTCTGCTGGAATGAAACCTATTATTCCTGATTCTTGTTACTTCATGGTTGCTGACTTTTCGCAGCTGGGTGAATTTTCTTTTCTTTTTTTTTCTTTGGTTCCAAATTACTGTTGGTAAGTGGAGGACGAAGCATTTTATTTGCTATTTAAGTGGTAGTTTAATTGCTAGTTTGGAAGTGATTATTGTGTTATTGTTTTTTTGCTATGTGAGAAGCTACATAAGCTTATGTCCAAAATACCATTCTTAGTGCTTCAGTTTTTAGATGGTCCATTTAAAATAGCAGATAGAAACAATGATCCATTGGATTTCCGTTTTGTGCGATGGATGTGTCGTGAAAAGGTATGCTATTATTTATTTAATCCATATTAAAAGTGTTTTCCTAGAATTGCTATTTATCTAATACAGCATAGATTTTAGAAACTTGCAATGATACCAAATTCTTCTTTTTACACTGGTTCAAATAAGCAGGGCAACGATAATTTTATTCGTGTTTGCTTCTTCAAGGTTTTTGATTCTTTTTCCATTCTTGCTAATTTGTTTTATATTGTTTGAATGTAAGACTTTAAATAGATTTTAGATTATTAAATCTACTTTGCTAGTACATGATAATTCTTAACTTAAATTTTTGATTCGTTAATTTGCAACATACAATTATATAATTTTTATAAAATAGTCTGGCTTACTGTATTAGTGATACTCTAATTAGGTTTTTTAGATGCATTCAATAGTGATACTTCGAAGCTGAAAAAGTTAACAGCTTAAACTATGTATGTGTCATGTTAAATTAAACAGAGTGGTTTTACAGTTGACAGTTTGTACTTACTACAGTTGTCGATATTACATTGAGACTGAATGATCTATAATAACGATAATAATAATTGTGATGCTAAGAGTGTAATTTTCAACATTTTAATACTAAAAACTATTATCTTTTCAGTCAGATAAGGTATTGGATGCTGCAGAATCAATATTGAAATCATTTCAAATGACTTAAGATCAGTATGCAATGGTGTGTTCCTTGTGATAATTTTTGCATTCTTTTACATTCCTAAAACTGTTGTGAATTGTTGGAATCAAAATTGAGCATATTGTATATACATATATATGTTTAACCCTGAAAATTTATTCGTTAATTTCATTCACTTATAAAGATATTTACGTTGGATCAGTATATATCTTCTTATGATTTCGAAATGTCTACGGATACATCAACTTCTTTACAACATGTCTCGCAACTTTGTGGACCAAAGCTTTGAATTATGATCCGTAGCATTTGGTTCAAGAAAACACGAAAAGATTAATAGCAGCTGAAGTGAAGGTAGATATTTTGGTAATTCTAGGAATTCAACCAAAGGTTGAAGTAATTGAGACTTCGTTAGTATTTCCTATTCATTTCTAGCCAATTTTGATGATTGATTTACGTGTTTTAAGATGATTCTGAGATTTTGAGGAAGTCAAAACGATGTGGTCTTAAATTGTCTTTTGCGAAGTTAAACATTAAAAAAATCCTTTTTGAATTGCAGGCCTCAAAAACACAAAAGGAATACAACTTTAAAATATCTGTTAAACAATAACATTCAGGTTTTATATTTTTCTTCTGACAATTTAGCAAGCTGTGTCTGAACGAGTTTGTTCATTTACGTGATCAATTTGAAGACAAGTATGGCGGAAAATTCAACGGAAACAGATTTGAAGACGTTTAAAGATTTTTTAACACAATACAATGCTGTTGCTGAACAATGTTTCACATCATGCATAACCGATTTTACCACAAGGTAAGCAGTCTCCTTTATAGAGTTATTTGCAAAGAAAAAAAATTTTTTTCGAGAAGAGACATAAACTGCCTTTTAAATTTAGTATTTAGAGAAGTCTTAAATTGCCAAGAAATTTTAATTATTTTGTTTTGATGCTTTGATTTTGTCCATTTTTTTTTCTCATTTGTTTACCTCAATACAATTTAGGAAGAATGTGGAAAAATTTTTTCCCGTTCCCTAAAGCTTTTTTGCTTCAAAGATTTGGGAAGTTTTAGACGCAAGGTGTGAGTTATGTTAAGATTGGATACAATTATCATTTTATCATTTTCCCATGTTTATAACACAATAAATGACAAAAACTTCGGTTGGTGGAGAAAATGAATATTGAAAAATTTTCCTACTTTTGTTTTTTCTAAAATTGTTTCAAACAAAAATAGAGAGATAAAAAAAATAAAATTTCTTTCTTTTTCCTTAGTAAATTAAAAAGCTGAACGGAAGTTTTGAAATTAAGATGACTTTTTTTTTTCTTTTGTCAATAATTTGTGTTAATTCCAGGTAGTAGCTTTTTCATTTGTATAAATTTTAAGCTTGTTTCTTTCACCAGGCAAAGTATACTTTTTATTTTTTTACTAACATTATTAGTGTTACTCTATATATTATATATATTGCATATTTCAGGACAGTAAGTAACTCCGAAGAGCAGTGTTGCTCGAACTGTCTTGATAAATTTTTGAAAATGACACAAAGGATGTCGTTACGATTTCAGGAACATCAATTGATTCAGAGTGAAGCACAAGGACCATTAGGATTAAAATAATAATTAAAATTTCTTTCTAACTGTTTAATCGTGTTTTATCAAATCGTTTTGTTGTTATTACAATATAGCATAAATTTCTACATTAGACACTCAAACGAAGCTTATGTTATGCTAGTTGTTATTTGTTATCGTTTTATTTCATCTGTTTTTAGCTTTTTTCTTTATTGAGAAGTTTTCAATGATGGAATATGTAAAATATCATTTTCAAATAATTTTAGTGATAACAGTAGCAAGATTCAATTGATAAAACGGTTAGCAACAATATTTCAATTTCTATAGTAATATTTTTAATTCTCGATCACTTTTTTCTTTTTAATTTATATTAAGGTAGTCTTTAAAGTTGTTGATCAGTCTGTGAATGGAAGCTTTTGTGAAATTGTGATTATATTTTATAAAATTTTGTTAATTTTTCATTTTTCTTCAAAAAAAAAAAAAAAAAAAAAAAAAAGAAGGAATACTTAAATGCACAGCATATGATTGTTAACATAGTATGTTTATTGGCTTCATGCAGAGTATACCACAATCATTTTGAATAGATTCAAGAAAAAGAGAGAGAAAGAGAAAGGGAAAGAAAGAAGAGAGGAAAAAAAGTTGATGGACTAATTCGTTCTTATTTATTTTTTTCAAATGAACCTGATTTACAGCATTATTTATACTTTTGTTCTGCTTTTTTCTTTGTATTTCGTTTAGTTCCGTCTTTGAGTTATTTTTTCAATATGGGTTTCTAAATTGTTTTATAAAAAAAATTGAAATTGAAAGAATCAAGTATTTATCGGTGGTAGGAGTCAGCTTTTTTCTTTCATTTATTAAATAAAGCATGTCAATTGAAGTTATTATATTTGAATTTGTTTTATAATTTAAGGTTATAATATTTGAATTTATTTTGATTATTTATAATACAGTTTGATTTGAGCTTCCATTTCAAGAATTAAAAAAAAAAAAAAAAAAGCACAAAGTATTTATGAAATTTGAATTCAATTTTGGTTGCATTATTTTGTGGAATTAAAATTGCGCTAGTCGACTGGCAAAAAATGCAAGGCAAATCCAAGAAACTTTTGATTGTTACAATTGGAATTTTTAAAAAAGTCGAAAATTTATTGTTCCTTATAAGAAAGGATTATTAACTAAAAATGAAAAGCAAAAATAAATCCCCCAAATTTTTCATATAGATTTTTGCAAATTAAAAATTTACAAAATTAGTAGTTGCAATTAAAATTATGAAACGAAAGTTTCAGAAAAAATGGAGTTTTTGCTGGAAATTGTCTTTCTTTGTTTTTTGGAAAGCATATATTTTTATATTTGAATCATTCAAAAATTTGAAATATTATTTTATTAATAAGTTATTATTATTCTTTTAATTTATTCCTATTTTATTTTCATGCCAATATTTATTACCAAATTTCTAAAGTATGCAACTTTTAAATTAGATCAAAACTACAAATAATTAGCCATTTCACTACATCATATTGTATCTTCATAGTTCTATTATTTTTATGTTTAATCCAATGAAAGATCCACTTATTTTTTATTCAAATTCATAAATATGTACTGTTTATCTACGTCATACGTTGACGTATATGTTAACTTTACCTTAAATAAGTACAATAATCATAAATAAGTATAGAACAAAAATGAAAAGTGACGATTTTTTGAAATTATCATGTTTTCAGCTAAACTTACGAACGTGTAATAAATTTGTAAAAATCAATAAATGATAAGGTGGAGAGTAATAATGATTGATTTGAAAATAATTTCCATATTTATCAGTTTATAGAGTATACGCAAATTTCACATCATTCATCAACTAAATTAATGTTTACAACTTGAAATCATTATTAGAAATGTAAGCATTACAATTAATATGTATGATTTGATCGATTGAATTTGAAACAAAGACTTAAAGCATTTTTCGAAGCATTGAAAAATAAATCTTAACAATTTCTATTAAACCAAAGAATACAACTGTTTAGTACAAAACAAAAAATTTCGAACAAAGATTTCTAAAAATTTATTTCTCAAAGTTTTCTCTTTTTTTTCTCCTTCTCTCTCTTTATTTTCAGGAAAATACAAACAAAAAAAAAAGAGAAAAACATGACAAAAAAAAATTTTTTTTAAAAAAAGAAAACAGGAAAATAATTATTAACCACATGAGTTAAAAAAAAAAAAAAAACTTATCATTTTCCGCTTTTTCCTTATTACTTAATCATTCAACCTCTCTCCCTTTCTCTCTCGCTTTTTCTCTCCCTCTTTCTATTATAAACTTAAGTAATACAATAAATTTGACAAGGAAGAAAAAAAAAACAAAAAAAAAAACAAAATGAAAAAAGCATAAATAAATTTGATGGATTTCAAAAAGCTGCTTGTTTTCATTTTCCTTTTTTTTTTCCTGAACATTTATTTGTTTTTTTTATTTTTTTAAAGTGTCTTTGTTTTACTTTTTTAACTCTTCGAATGTTTCTCGTTGTTTTATTAAATTTCAATTAAAAAAGTTTTTAAGTTTTTATACAAATATGACCCGATAAAAGTTAATAAAATAAACAAACAATTTTAATTTAAAAAAAAATTGGTATTTTAATACTGAATGGAAAATGAATAAATAATGCGGAAATTATTTGAAGTTTAAATTTGATAAACTGAATATAAGAGAGAGAAAAACAGAGAGAGAGAGGGAGAGAGAGAGAGGAAAAAAGAAAATGAATGAAAAAGGAGCAAAAAATATTTTTTTTTGATTTAAATTTTGATAGCAAAATGGTAGTATATATGTATTATATATAGTAGAACCTATTGAAAAAATTAAATTTTTTCTTTTTTTTTGATACATTAAAAAAAATGGAATGAGGATAAAAAAAAGAGAGAGAGGGAGAGAGAAGAGAAAAAGAAATAAAAGAAAAAGGAAAAAGAAGAAAGAATGATTAATGAGCGAATTAGTTAAGGAAGAATTTTTAGTCTATCTACTACACTAGCACCATTATTTCTATCCCCAAAAAAAAAAAAAAAAAAAAAAAACGAAAATTTTTTTCATCTTTCATCTTCCCATACACTTATATATATATATATGCATTATATGTGTTAAACATAAACGAATGTTTAAACATTTTTATACTTTTTTAAATTACATTTAATTATTATTAATTACCTTTAATTTCATTTTTTTTCATCAAAATTGAATAAAACTATATTATATATATATATATATATATATATAAATATATAAAAAGAAAATAAAATCAATTCTTGCCAATGATGTCTGTTTGTTTATTTATTTCTTTACTTTTTTTTTTTTGTTTTTTGTTTTTTTTCTGGTTTTTTTCGTTTTCTAAATTCTTCCATACACATCCATTGTCATTTTATTTTTTGCATTAATTTCTTTTTTTTTTTTTGCAAAAAAGGATAAAAAAACAAGCAAGAAGAATAAAGAAATTTTAGCAAAAAAAAGTACCTAAACAAAAATTATTTCCTATTATAATCATAATAATTATTGTTATTATTATTTATCAATTAAGCATTCTTAAATTTGTAATAATGCAACAATTACCATTGCTATTGTCATCATCATCATCATCATTACTATTACCACCACCACAACCACAACCACAACCACTACAACCACCACAACCACAACCACAGCCATCATCATCATCAACATTATCAAGATCACAATCGATGTCACAGTCACGATCACAACCATTATCATCATCAATCAAACGATTAAAATCACAAAAACAGCAATTATTCCATGAATACAATTCGAAAGATGCAGAAAATCGATGGATGCAAGTAAGGAATTTTAACTATTATTTTTGTATAATTAGCAACTTTTTTTCTCTTTTAGGATGATTCCTTTATTTAAAACTTTTCTCCTTTCATCTCTCTCTCTCTCTCTCTTTACTTCTTTCTCTTTCTTTATTTCTTTCCCTTTCTTTTTTGTCAATATATATATATATATATATATATATATATATATATATATATAAGTAAATTAAGGTTTGCTCGAAACATTTAACAATTTTTTTTTTTTGACCCAAACAATACATTTCAACATATTTGTTAGTGAGTATCAAATGTCTAAAACTTAGTAATTTTGCGTTATTTTCACAATTATTGATAAAACGGTAGAAAAACAAATATTTGTTTACTTACTTTTTGTGATATTTGTTGGAAGAAGAAAGGAAGCGAAAAATGCGAAAAATTAAAAATCTGAAGTTGAATGATTTTCGCATTTATTAAACATGAAATATTATAGTTACTTTTTATATAAGCAAAAAATTTAGTCATTATTCTAAATATAATTATCTTTTTTTCTTCCTTCAGTTAAAAAAATTATGAAAAACTAAATTGTAAAATTCTTAACCTAAAATTACTCTCAAGAGGCTGCCTTTTTTCCTTTTTTCTTTTTTGTTTTTTCGCTGCACGAAATGTCAAATCAAAAGAATCATTATTTGAATGAAAATGATGCAATTGAAAAAGAAAAAATCACAATTATCGCATGATTATTTGGCTGTCATTTTGCTGCCATTGTTATTTGCTATTTATAAAAATTCAACTTTTCTATTTGTTATAAAAAGAAAGAAAATTAAAAAAAGAGAAAATAGAGGAAAACAGAAAATTTCTTTTTTCAATAATATATTTATTTACTAATAATATTTTTTAATAATATATTTGTTTACTAATAACATTTCTTTAATAATATAATTGTTTACTTTTTTTTTATTAATATAATTTATTTATTAAGAAAAATTTTTTTCTTCAAAATAATTTGTTTTATGAAAATGAAACTTTTACAGTATGTTATAATTAAACAATAATATTTCTTTAACTGATACAATTTATGATTTTAATATAATTATCACTGTTTATAATACTTTTTAAGGTTTATTGATCTTTTTTTCATCAAAGGTTATAACTATCATTTCTGTTAACAATGCATAATTTAGCATACATCAAAAAATTTCCACGAAATCGTCGTACGCTTTTGGTTTTTAACAAATGTCAAAATGCCAAGCTTTCGCATTTCTTTGCTAATAGTATAATTATAATAGTTAATAAAGAATCCATAATAATTGAAATGAATTGCATCAACTTCATTAGTCCAATATTTACTTCAATTAATTAGGTTAAAAGTTGTTGATAGATCATTTCAGCTTAACAAAGCTATTGTTCTTTCTTACTATTCATTTATAATTAGTTGGTGAAATCTCCCACAACTTTTATTTGGACTAGCCAAAATTTCTCACTAATTTTAATCAGCCTAACCGAAATTTCTCGCAATTTTTAAGCAGCCTAGCCGAAAGTTCTCACAACTTTTCATCAACCTAGCTGAAATTTCTCACAATTTTTGACCAGTTTAGCCGAAATTTTTTACAATTTTTAATGAAGCCATTTCAATAAATTTCTTTATGAGTAAATTTTCACTAAGTGAAGTGAAAAAGTTTCTTATAGCGTAATTGGATTCTGAATGTTATGCATCGGTACTAGTTTGCATACATTAGGGCATATCATTTGATTATTTAATCATGGAATATTTCTGAACTAAATTGAAATTTAAAAACAAAAAACAAAATGGTAGATAAGAAAAAAAAGCCTGCACATATACAATAATTATTCCGAGCCTAGTCTAGGACGTAATCGAAAAGTTACCAGTCCGAGCACGATCACAAAGTTGGCTTATTCGAACTCGTCATTTACTTGATGATACCAAGGTATGTCAGTTATTTTTAATATTTGTATTAAAAAAAAATTTTTTTCCCATCAAATTAACAACTAAAAATCTTGAAAATTTAAAAGGCTTTTTGAAAAAGATTTTAATACGCACCTGATATTTAAATATTTCCATGAAGTAAAGTAAAAATATTATTAAATCTATGTCATTTCAAAGAAAAAATTGTTAGTGTAACTTCAGTTATATATAACAAAGTATATATATTAGATTGGTGCAAAACGAACTGTAATTTTTAGTTTATTAAACAATTTTTTTTTTACATTGGCGTACAACTTAACGACTACAATTCTTCATGTATTCGGCATTACAAGAAAATTAAAAAGTTCAGTGAGTGGACAATTGATAAAATGACAGAGAATCAAAAGATGACGTGTCGTCCTCTGTTAATTATGCAATAATTGTGAATCATTTCTTGATGAGATTATGACATACGAACATATAACAATAACAATAACAACACGCAATAATTGTGACAGCAACAAAATGACAATAATAATAATAACAACAACAATAGTGACGACATCAAACACAGCAATTCTCAGTAATTGAGCGGAAAAATTCAAAAGCGCTTTTGAAAAACTGAAATTGTGAAGGATGGATGAGGTCATTGGTCAAAGTTAAAGTTAGTGTCACAGCAGATTTTTTAATGTTAAACAGAATTGTCATTTTGTGATATTTGCAAAGCAAAATCGATGAGATACGAAAGATTTTTCTGTCTTTATTTTACATCGATTAACAAAAAAAAAAAAACAATTTTACTTCGACAACAACGCCTAAATCAAAGTCAAACAATGAGCGCTTCAAATTGAAACTAGTCATTATGTCTCATCCGTCAAATTAACTTACTTATATTCACTACTTCCACAAATACAATTGTCATCTTCAATTTTAATACTTTTGTGGAGAAATATGCTTTGACAGACGTCGAAAAACAAGAATATATAATCTCCAAAAGTTTGTCAACTATGCTGAAACAATAAACAAACTTATTTTTCACTGTCAAATTGTATATTATTTGTCATAGTTTCTATTTTGGTCAATAAAAGCATACTAGGCGCTATTGATACAATTTAATTATTACTTTTGCACCAACTTAATATGTGTATGTGTATTATATAAATACTCATCATCAGTTAAATAGAAAAGTAATCTACGATGCGTACCTGTCGAACCTTTTGTATCAGTTCGACTGGTAAGCATCTTGACACAATTTATTTTCTAATTGAAATATTAAATTTGTCAAGGGTTTCGAGTAAAATGAATTTCTTTAAATATTTATAATAATTACAATTTCAGGAGAAAGCGCCCTTTATATCATCATGCCTTTATGTGCTTTCAGTGATACTTGTTGTAATCACTTTTCCATTTTGTTTACCATTTTGCTTTAAAATTATCAGGTTTGCGCAAATTTTTTATGAACAAACTTACTTATCTTAATTACTAAAATGTAGTTTATAAATAATACTTTTAAATGACTGATTGGCTTTTTCATTGCTATAAATGATAATAAGTGAAAAAAATTGTTCAAATTAAAATGAAATTGACATAATAAGTTTCATAATGCACTTTTTTTTTTCGAATGTTCACCATTTAAATTTTTTGCAATTCTTAATTTATTTAATTTAATTTTAAATGCAGAGAATACGAGCGTGCTGTTGTTATGAGACTTGGACGTCTTATCAGTGGTGGAACCAAAGGACCAGGATTATTTTTTATCATGCCTTGCATTGATACATTTCATGTTGTATGATTCACTCAATTCTTTTTTAAATTTAAATTCAAAAGTTTTACACCTTTCAAAACTTACTCTTCCTTTAATTACAAATTTTCTTCTAGACTATAAGAAACTCATTAGCGGAATTTCTAAATAGGGTTTTATAATTTTATGTTTATTTATGCAAATAAATATGAAGTCATTATATATTTATATATACTGCTTTGGTTTTGTTAATCAGTATAATTTGTAGGTGGATTTACGAGTATTATCATTTGATGTACCAGCACAAGAAATTCTCAGTCGTGATTCAGTAACTGTTTCCGTAGAGGCAGTAATCTTTTTCCGAATCAATAATCCAGTAATATCTGTAACAAATGTTAATGATGCGCAATTTAGTACAAAACTTTTGGCGCAAACAACACTTCGGAATGTGCTCGGTACTCGAACACTTAGTGAAATGCTTAGCGAACGAGATAACATAGCCAATGTTATTATTTATTAATAATTAATTAAAAAGAAAAAACGAAAATTTCCACTTTATAATAATTCATTTATTTATTACGCATTTAATAAAACTTTGATAAATTTATCTTAGATCGAATTAATTTTATTATTTAATAATTTCAGATCAAAAGTAAAAAAAAAAAAAAAAATTTCTTTCTGTTTAAAAAAAAAAAAAAGAAAAACTAAAGCAATTATATTGATTTGATAAGCTTAATTTTAGTCATAATTTAGGTGATTGAAAAAGTTTTAGCGGAAGGAACTGAACCATGGGGTGTTCATGTACAACGTGTTGAAATTAAAGATATCCGTTTACCTTATCAACTGATGCGATCAATGGCTGCTGAAGCCGGTGCTGCTCGTGACGCACGTTCACTTATCATTCTTGCTGACGGTGAACGTCAAGCATCTTGGCTAGTTCCTTTCTTGCATCTTAGCTATTAATTTTTGCTCACTAAGTTAATTATTTGTTTTATTAAAAAATTAATTTATTATCAATTGCAAAAATCTTGCAACTTTTGTTTCTGATATGCAGTATATTTCTATACTAAATTAATCATTTTTTATTAACATTTTTTTTTTTTTTTTTACAAAAAAATCGAATTATTATCTTTTCCCTTATTCAATTTTGAAATTAAAATTGATATATTGAAATATTTTAGATAATTAAATAAAGGAGAAAATAAAAAATAATATTCATAATTTTAATAATTAAATTAATTTGCAGTATTTTCAGGTCATTAGCTGAAGCAGCGTCAACAATTGGTTCAAGCAGTGTATCATTGCAATTGCGATATTTGCAAACATTAACAAATGTTGCATCAGAACATAATTCAACTATTGTTATTCCAATACCGATGGAAATTGCAAGGTATTGTGCTAGAAAGTGGTGCAAATTTAATGCTAAAAATTTATAAATTATTTATTTATTCATTTATTTGTTCCTTTTATTTTTGGAAAAAATTTTGAAAGAAAAAAGAAAGAAATTTTTTGAAATTTTCACGAAAACTGGAAAAATTTTACTTTAATACACAAAAATATTTAATTCGAAATATACAAAAAATGCAAGCAGCGTTTCTTTCTTTCCTCTTTTTTTTGATTTAATTTCAAAAAAAAAAAAAAAAAAAGAAGGAAAACGAATAAATCTGATTTAAAAGAAATGTAAATGTTTTATATTGAAAATTGAATAACCAATAAAAATTTTAACAATTTGTAAGTTTAAATGTGATAATCGTTTTTTTTTTTTTTTTTAGATCATCGTTCAGAATTTTTAATCACTTTTTATTGGTTCGAATTTTATGGCAATCTTTTTAAGTTCTTAAAATCTTATGGAATGACAATGTAAATGTAAGGCTAAACTTAATTCGCCAATTTTTTTTTTTTTAATTTGATGTTTGCATAACAAAATCAATAAATTCAAAAAAATTTTTTCTTAATTTTTCTTTGGACTCCCTAATTTTTTTCCTTGATAATCTTGACGAGAAATATGAGAAAAAAAAAGGAAAAAAGAAATTTTGTTTATTCAAATCTGAATTTTTGCTCAAATTCATCATTAATTAATTATTATCACTCAAAAAAAAGCACTGAAGTTATTCTTAGGTAAGATTAATTGGACATTCTTAATTAATCTTTCATCAAAACAAATTTATTAAAGCAAATTTTTGTCATTAATCAGGTTCGTTGTGCACCTCTATCTGTACTTTTATACAATAAATCTGTTTTTTTTTTTCTTTTTTGTAAAAAGTTTGAATGTTATTATCATTATAATATTTTATTTTTTTAATTTAATTATAAAATTTATTAACTACCTTGTGTAACATGCATTTGCTTAATTAATTAATCGACCAAATAAAATGAACACAATCTATATATCAATGATAATAAATTAGAAAAGCGCAAATTAATGAAGAAGACATGAATTATTTTGGTTGAATTTATTATTTGAGACGAAATTTTAGTAATAATTCACAATAATTCTGTCATTAATTTTTTAAAACAAAAAGTTTCCAATCAATTTAAAAACTGAACTGTTAATATGATATTGAACTACTGTGTAATACTTTTCTTATTCTTTCAAATTAAACATTTTCTTCAAAAAAAAAAAAAAAAAAAAAAAAAAAGGTAAATTCAGTTCAATCCATTGAGTTTGCTGCTAAATTAAAGTAATTAGTATTAATTAAAAAAAAAGGAAACTACGACGATCAATAATAAATTGTATTTAATCCTTTCAAATTTTTATTTTACACTAATAATTAATTTACTCGAATTCTTTCTTTTTTTTTCAATTTGCTATTTCATTATTATCAATTAACCATGCAAACTATTGTTTGATCATTAATTTATTCTAAAATTATTGCCACTTATAATTCAATTTTTTTTGCAATGGCATTTCAGACAATAAACATTTTCTAATGCTCCTACTGAAATTTATTAATAAAATTTAAATGATAATTCAAACTTAATTTTTCTTGTTGAATGAAACTGATTTCTAATTTACTGCAATTATTGCTTTAAATATGTTAAGAAAAAAAAGGAAACGAGAACGAAAGCAAAATTCAAGATTGTATTTTTTATTAATCAAAAGCCATCGATTAGAATTCATCCTAGTATTTTGGTATTTTTTATCGTTTTCAAGATTTCGTTTAATTATTTAAGAATTTTTTTTGTTAAACAAGTAATGGAATTGTCAATTAGTTCCTCCTTGATTTTTTTCTGGTAATCAATTTTCAAATAATTAATTGTCCAATTTGAAAAACACTTGTTTACAAGACATCTGTTCAAAAAAATGATATTTTCATTTTGAAAACCGAAAAAAAAAGCGGAAATGTTAAGTCTTATTTAATTTTTTTTCGCATTATAGATGAACAGCAGCACAAAACCTATGTTACATTTCATTTAAAATTTTTCTAAATTTTTAATTTCAACATTTTTCATTAGCAGATTTATAGCATCAAACTTTTAAAACTACAAATATATTATAAAATCATTGCCACCAGAATAGATTAATTAAAATTTGACAAAAAATAATAAGAAACAGCGAAATAATTAGCAAAATTTGATAATGTAAAATGCTCATTAATACATTTGTATATTATACAATTGAAATGTGATTTCAACAAATAAAAAAGAAAAAATAAAAACAATTTTTAGATCTCAAAAATATAGACTGGGAAGGAAAAAAAAAAAAAAAAAAACAGAAAAATAAATATTAATGAATTCTAAATGAATTCAATTTTTTTTCTTATAAATATTTTTGAATTTATTCAATCTTTTTAATTACAAATATTGGAGACATTAAAAATTTGCAAATTGTTTTACTATTTTCATGAAATAAAAAATCAATTACTTTATTATAATGAGTCAAATGCTATCAAATGAATCCGGAGATATTTCTTGATGAATCATAATCATCATTATTATCATCAATTTCCATTGCTTTCAGATTTATCCCATCAACTGATTCAATTTCATCAAATAATTTATACTGTATTTCATACCTGCCAATTTTTTCATTTAATACAACCATCGAACGAAATCTGAAAATTTTAAATTAGGAGTCAAATAATCTAAGTTTATACCAGAATTTAAACCAGAATTCTATTATATTATTTCAAATTATCCATTCAATTCTTTAAAATTTCTTGGGAAAAATGATGTTCTTTGATTTCTTTTACGTTCAAATTTTGATTTATACTTGCGTACTCTTTCATCTAATTATAATCAACAAATTAATCTAAGTTTATCATACATAGCAACGCTTTTTAAATATGCAATCATTTAGTATTGATATCACGTAAAATGCGTAAAATTTCACAGTTTCAAGTACTAACCTGTATCCCCAGAGTATCTCATCAGGTAAAAATGAAGTTCGAGCCTGGAATGTCATACCGGTAGCTTCGACAATACCTTCGACAGTCATAATAAGCTCGAAATGAGCATTATGCATCACATCAGGTGTCATCCCAAATAACGGACTTTGATCATCAATTAAATGTCTCACTATTATTGGCCTAAAAAATTTCACCTACTGAAAATTTAGGAAACTTTATAGTATTATATTTTCAACTTTAACATAATATTTATAAAACTACAAAATACTTTCATTAGTAATATATATAAAATTCACATATATTTGCTTATAATTTCACTAACTTTAATTTTACATTTTCCTCCTACTAACAAAAAAAAAAGACTTTTTTTGTTTAATTTTAAGAAAACAAATTAAATTAACCATAATAGAAGTATACGATCCCAACCAGCATCATAGCCAACATCCATATCTTTAAAATCAGCCAATTCCCGTTCACCTTTCTGTCAAATAATAAACAAATATTATTATTTTATAGTAAAAATTGAGAAATTAAAAGGGAAAAAGTAAATTTTATTTTCTACATATTAATTATTCATATTAATTAATAATATTAGATAAAAGCATTAATTATTCAATTTCTATTCCTTTTATTTTTACTTTTCCCAGCAAATAATTTGATTAAAAAAATAAGTAGGAAAAAAAATGTATTCTCGGTTAAAAGAATTTTTGAATAAAATGAATTTATTTCAATATCAGATTAACTTCAAAAATAATTTCTAATCAGGAGAATAAATTTAATTGACTTTATTTATTTTTGAAGTTGCTATGTATAATCGAACATGTGGCTCAGCAATATACAAATTATTTTGTATATCAGCAATTCGTATCATCAATATCGGTCTTCCATCCGTATCACTCATTGGATCGATTACTGCTACCTGAGAAAATCGCATTTCCTAAAAATGCAAGATGAAACGAGAAAAAAACCAAATTTTCATGCATTCCAAAATTATAAATTACCAAATTTAAATATACTTGTTAAACAAATTTTTTTGGAGTAAGAAATGATAAGTATTATCTGATACTATTTGATAAGTATTATCTGTTACATATCTAAAATTTACAACAGTGTAATCATTTCTATTATCTAAAATCAAATATTTAAATGAAAATTTTGTTTTTATATTACAGTCAAAATATTATTGAAAATAATATGAATAAATATAATCAAAAAGTAAATTAAAGGATGAAATTCCGGAAAAAAAAGCTATAAACTGAATGTATCAAATTAGGAAATAATTCAGAATGAATAGATTAATTTATCATTCCAATAACATTTTAATTCAGTCCTGGAAATAATTCATGAAATAATATAAGTTTATATTACATTCGTTCATATTCATTAAAAAATTAGTTTCATTCATATTTGTTCACATCTATTACTAATTATAATGCTGAATTAATTTCAACTTTAAATCAAAATTGAAATTTAAAAGACTAAAAAATTCTACCTGCTTTCGTTTTTTTGGACGCAACAATTTAGCAATAACAATGCCACTTAACATTGTTTGCATGAAAACACCCGCAATACATTGCAATGATAAGATAAAAACAATCGGTAAACATGCATCTGTTACATATCTGAAAATTATTGGTCAATTCTCATTTGGCTAATTATAGCTTAGTTAATTTCATTTTAATGATTTTAATTTATTTGCTTAAATGAAAAAATTGGATATATACATACATTCGTTTTAATTTGACAATCGTTAATAAAAGAAAAGTTTTTCTTTCTTACAAAATTTTAGAGTTATATATAAATGAAAAAAAAAAAAATATATATATATAAAATTTTATGATTGTTTTGTTTTTGATCATTGCATAAAATTGTAATTGTTTGTCAAAGAATAATTAACTGACCGAAATCCATAACCAATAGTATGTTGTGTTTCCAAACTGAAAATTTAATTTTATTTGCTCAATCTTTGCATTAAAAATTTTAATAAGTAACTGGAAATTCTCACAACATTTAATAACTTTAGTTATTCAAAAAATAATAATAATAATAATAATAATAATATGAACTAATTTCCAGAATAACAATTACTATATTGAAAAGTAACTATCACAGTATGTTCAGGTTGACATGTCAATTTACAAATCAAAACGTAAGTTAATTACGTATAAATACCTGAATAGGAAGGCAGTCTTAAAATCGTAAACATTTGCAATACACTGCTCATTCTCTTTCTTTCTCTAAATAATAATTTAGTTAACAGTTAAGCATTCTATCTTGTGTTTTCTCTCTCTCTCTCCATTGACGATGACAAAGACAGTACATAAATGATAAAAGTTAAGGACCAATTAAAATGTTAATAAAACAAAGTCAATCATAACAATAATTTTCCCTGGAATTGGAAGGAAATTAGAAACGATAACACTATTTCATATTACTCCAAAAATACTTTTGCAAAATACTTTTTGATCAAAAGTTAAAAGTAATCAATGAAATAAATGAAATAATCATTGAGATTTTATCATAATTTATATGTGCAACAGAAAATATTGTCAAAGACTGTTTAATAGATGACAAAAGTAAACAATAGTTAATATTAAAAATTATTTAATAGTGTCAATGATTTGTAAATATTTATTTATCATAAATATTTTATTATAAATGAATAAATATGTCTGTAATGAATGAAATTTTTTTTAAAATAATGTATTTTTTGCATTTTTTTTTTCATTGTTTTCTTTAAAAAGTATCATTGTCTATTTTATTAGTTTAATTAATAAAATTGACCTTAGGACATTTATGATAAAATTAATTAATAATCAAATGTACAATACATATGAAATAGGTATATGTGTGAAAGTAAATTGTTATTAAAATATTAGAAAGAAGCATATTTGCGACAGATTTAAGAAATCGTCAAAATTAATAATAATTTATTATATGGGAAAATGATTTATGCATAAATAAATTTAGTTCTTTCTTCATAATACTTATAATTCATTATTTATAATTTTCATTTCATTCCATTTTCTTTGTTAAATACACACATACACATACATACATACATACAAACATATACACAGACACACATAACATACACATAGATATGTACAAATGCATGAAATGATCTCAAGAAAAAGAAATTTTAATACTAATCGTTTTCACTTTAATTTTTTTCTTTTTTTAAATAAAAACTTACAATTGATTGGTCGGGCAGTATAGTAAGATAATAAATTAGAGCAAAAATGATCCAAGTAATAATAAAACCGCTAGCAAAAACACACAAAATAATTCGCCAACTACATTCGATCACCAAATGGAACCAATTCCTGTAATACATCGATATATCTATCAAATATTTATACTTAAATACTTAATATTTGCATTGAATATCCTTAACAGATATCATTATCGTAATAAATATATCGGAATATTTGATCTATTTATGGAATAACTCTTAACTGATATTATTATTTAAATGATAGCAAGAAAAGTAGTATATCAAAGAATTATTCTGGATGCATTTTTCTTTTAACAGTAATTCTTTTAAAAATGTCATATAAAAAATTTTTAAACCTATATTTAAATCTTGACTTTCTCATTGATTTTTCAATTTTAGTCAAAAATAAGGGAAAATTTTATATGCATAAGTACTTCGACATTTTTGCATAAATGCGATTGATTTTCATCAAATAATTTAATTGTTAATTGATAGAAATGAATAAAAGATATAATAATTACTTGTAAACAGATCGACATGGATGAGGCATTCCAATTTGTCGCAGTACACAGCGACCATCTTTAGCGACCAAACGTGGACGACAAATTTTATTCTTTATTAACGGTGAATTGAGTAATGCTTCATGATTATCATTATCATCCATTCTTCCATCACACGACTGCTATTATCTTTCTCCTTTTAAATTTCAATTACCTTAGCAAAACTTTGAACTTTAGTTATTAAAATCATCAGATATGTGATTCTCGAATTATTCACTTAAACCTATATCAAATCAAACCAAAATTATTCAACATTTTTCTAAAACCACTGCTTGAATGAAAAAAAAAAAAAAACGCAAACGTTTATATATTAATCGTATTAGTTCATTAATAATTTAAAATTTAAATTAATATGATATGAAACAAATAAAAGATTTAATGAAATTAAAGTAAATATGTTATAAGTGTGAAACATTGAATAAAATCAAATGCTGCAAAAAATGATAGAATGTTTAAAAATTGCATTAAAATTTTACGAACAAATAATGAAAAAAGTGTGAAGTAGTTAGCTATTCCTTCACCTTTCTTATTTTCTTATTTTATTTGCATTTTTCTATTTTTGAATTTTTTTAAATTCTTCTAGTATCTAATAATAATTCTAATAATAAGATTAATTATTTGATAATGAAGATTGGCAGTAGCTACAAAAAAGGTTCATGGTTATCATAATAGTAAGTAGTGGTAAGATTTTCTCATTATCATTTAATGAGAAGTGATAATGCCTACAAGAAATTGTAATAGTTGCAGTTATAAATAATGATAAGGTGAATTGAGTGATAATAAAAAAATTGACACTGCCTGCAAAAAATCCTCACAGTTACTGTAGTAATAAGTAATAATAAAAGTTAATTAAATAGTAATGGAGATGGATAATAGCTTGAAGAAATATCAGATAGTTTTATAGTGATATATAATGATAAAATTGTATGTATATGTAAGTGATAACAAGAATTGACAATGGCTGTAGATAATAGTAAATTAAAAAAAAAAAAAAAAAAAACTGAGTTAAAAAAGCAAATAAGCATTTGCATTCAACAATATTTGCTTGAATTATAATTCAGCAAAAAAAAAAAAAAAAGATTTGTTTACCTATTTACTTACTTCGTGTTAGCTAATGTTATCAGATGTGTTTCTAGCCTCTTCATTAATTATTCAAGCAATATTGATTATAATATATCAAAGATTATGATGTAAACAATAATGGTTACAAATAAGAAATGATATTTTTCACTGGATAATTTTTTTTTCTTTTTTGATCAAAAAATTTGATTTAACGTATGATGAGAATTGAATGAAGTTGACAACAAGTTGACAACTTCAAATAGAGATTTCTTTGGCATTCATTTTGAGCTATTCGTTTTCTATCTGTCAATTTCATTTATATTTTTAATCAATTTGTTTTATCTGTTCACAATTATCAACACATCTCCCTGATGAATAGAAAAAATGAATGAATGTAAATTTATCAATTTAAAAAAAATTTTGTTTACTTATTTAAAAATGATGGCATTTCTATAAAAAAAAAAAAAAAGCTAATACCTCATTTATCTTTCCTTACTATTTATCAATTTTAGTAATCATTATTTTTTCTCAATACTTAAGTAGTTATTATGAATAATAAATTTTTTTTTCGCAGAATTGTTTAACAACTTAAAATTGCTGTGACAAAAACAAAAAAAAAACATTTTATTTCAAAATTTTTCTTATTCATATTCATTTGGAATAAAAAAGAAAGGAACTGAAATATTTTGCAATTATTTCTAATTTTTTCAAATAAGAAATTGAACAATAATAACAAAAAAGTGCAATGTTAATTGCATTTTAAAAACATTTGAATATTTAAAATTTAAAAATATGAAATTTTTACAAAAATTAATTAAAATCTGAGCTGAAAGAAAAAAAAAAAACATCATTTGGGACAGAAAATAAAATAAATAAAAAAGAATGCGAAGTGTGTTAATCATTTCCCTCTTTCAGACCGGTAAATTTATTTACATAAAAAATCGTTTCAAATCCAGAGAACATTTTCAAAAAAAAAAAGGTAGACGTTCTTCAGTTTTTTTATTATTCATTTCATTTCGTTTTATTAAGTTTATTAAGTATGAAAAATTTATAATTAATACGTATTATCCAATATTTTTATAATACGTTTGCATAAATAGTAACTTCCGAGTTAAAAATACATAACATTTAACTTTTAATTAATTATTGTAATTTTTACATCGAGTTTTATTTATTTTTTTTTTTCAATTCTTTGCTTTTTTTACAAACCAGTTTACAAACAATGCAATTTCAATTCATTTATGAAAAAAGATTGATGTAATTTAAATGCCAAAATAAACAATGGAAGCAAATATTTCAGAAAATGAAATTTAATAACGAATTATTTTCTATTGTGCATTTATCATATATATATATATTTAAAAATGTTTGAATCATAAAAATTAAAAATGAAAATGACGTAAACACTTATAACAAATAAAGAGCTTTTATAAATAAATATTTGTGCAAACATACTATAGTGCACGTGGAAGAATTTTTTTCAAATCTAAAAGTTTTAAATTGCTATTGATGCAAAAATTTGTTTTAGCATTGAAATTTCAATTATATAATAATAAAAAAAAAAAATGAAGCAATTAATTAAAAAAAAAAACACAAAAATAGTAAAAAATAACATCAGAAATGTAAAAAAATTAAAAAAAAAGCAGTAAAATTAAAAACGAACTTATTTCAGCTATTTTAATTTTCAATACAATTATTAAATGATTAAAATAAGTTGCAAAAAAAAAAAATAAAGTAATTAAATATAGGAAAATAATCAAAAATGACGAAAATAGTTGTCAATATGCAGAGAATGGATAAAAATTCTCACACTATTTACTATATTTGAATTTATCAATTCGAACAGAATAAAAATTAAGTGATCGTTAAAATGTTCAAATCAAAATTAGAAAAAAACACATTTTACATCTTATTTATTGCATATTCTCACAATCTAGAATAAAATTTAATAAAGAAATTGTATTTTACTTAAGCTAGCTATGATTCAAATATTAGCAGCTATTGAATTACCATTGATTTTTACATTTACAATTATATTACATTGTCTCACAGATTGATAACATTTCAAGAAATTAAAAAAAAGTGCTTGAAATTGATTGGAAAGTTAGATTTATTTAAAACAATATTTGAAAAAAAAAGGGAACAAATGAAACAAAAATAGTATACTCACAAAATTTTAGTATTTTATGAAACATTTTAATTAGGTATTATTAATGAATTTTTTTGCACCAAAAAAAAAAAAAAAAAAAAAAAAAAAAAAAAAGAAGGAAAAAAGAAATGTTCAAAATTTTTTTTTCATTGGTAATTAGCAAGGAGAAAAGAGGAGAATCGCTGAGTATTTTAATTTTGTTTTGGTTAAATTGATGCTAACAGGTAAATAATTAAGCCTACACTTGTAAGAGTCCATGCTGAATTATAATTTATTGTAATTATAATGTTATTAATTCATTTTTTAAAAGAATGCATATTTTTGAAATTTATTGACATAAAAATGCACATTAATAACAAAGATATCCAACTGATAATAAATGGTGAAAATATTTCATCATATTTAACAAATTAAACAAATTCTAACTTTAAAGTAATATTTGTACCTCGAAAACTTTATAGCACCATAAATTCTGGTTAAATTCTTAACTAATGAAAATAAATGTTAGTTGAATTGATTTTACAATTGGTTTAAGATAGAAATTGTCTTTCATACAACAAAATATTATTGCATAATTTGCTGTTTGCATATTTCAGAATTTTAAAAGGAAATTGACATTTCTATTATCACACAAAATATTTAAATAATATATTGCAACATTTACAAACAATTTTAGTACTTTCCTTCATGCCAAAAATATATTATTGCGTAAAATATGCGTGAAACGTATATTAAATAATTAATATTTTCCATTTATGAAAAGCAAATTCATTCTAACAAAATATTATTACGTAATGTGTTTACATATACGCGATGTAAAATTAAACATATCTACGATAACAGTGAACATTTAGAAAAGTGCGTATGCTGCAATTATGCAAAGATAAATAAATAAATAAATATGTATTATGCAAAAAAAAAGTCTATAATGTTAGTCATATTAATAATAGCATTGATTTCTATTAATTCGATTAATTTGGACTTTATTAATTTGATTGAATTAGGATTTTTTATTAATTTAATTATTTGAGGTAAATCGAGGTTTATTCGTTTTTATAAGAGAAGGTATGTGTATAATTTGCTTCTTTTCTTCTCTTCAATACATCATAAAATTTAAAACTGACAAATACAATTTGATTGTTTAAATATAATGTAAAGGGAAATACAGCCTCGAGGATTACTGCATTGATTTTCTTTTTCTTTTTTTTTTTTTTTTTTTCTGCATATTTATCACTTTTGCGATTTTTAATGCTAATGTTGTTTTGCTTTTTGTTCCTTTTTGTTCCTACTTCATCGTGAACTTAACTATTAATTGGCTAGTTAACTATTACTTAATTTATGCCAATAAAATCACAGATTCCGAAAGAGAGAGGGAAAGAGAAAGAAGGAAATAGTTGATAAAAAAAGGTAAATTTTTTAATTGAGAACAATAAAGTGAGAGAGAAAATACAAAAGGAGAAAGAAAAATTCGCTCGTTTGCATTTCTTAATTTTGTTTTTTTTTTCAGAAGCATTTGTATTTATTCTTGCAGAAAAATAAAAATAAGAAATATAAACGAAGAGCTAAATTAGATACTAGTCAAATGGATAAATGAATTATGAATTATATGTTAACAACAACAGCAATTGTAAAAAAAGCAGAATAACAGTCACGTACGTCATATAAACACATACGTGAAGTTTGCAGATGCGATAAACACGGACATCATATCCGCATATATGCGATATTTGTGAACATACAGCCAACTGTCAAAGTTAATTAATATTTTTTTTGTTTCTAATTTCTCAAACAAAAATATTTGGTACAAATTCTACTTTGTTCATATAACTTTCACATAATTATATTGTAAAGTAGTAATAATAATATGTTGCAGTTCATAAGTTTAACTAATAACATTTTTGCATCATTAAATTTAGGTATCACGTATAATCAACAAATTATTTAAGCGTATGGATGATTTACGTAATGAAATAATTTCGTTGTTGTAACAAATAGAATACAAAATACCTGAATGATAGTTGTAGTAGATTAAAGAGATCAGATAAAAATGGCTTAATTTAATGAAAAAGTATACTTAAACTTTAACTTTAACATTTTTATTTTTCTCAGTCAATTTCAATTAATATATAGAAATAGCAGGATAAATTACGAATTGAACAGAATATTTTTTGCATACAAGTACAAATTTATAATATGTATAGCTTTATTAAAGACTATTTCATTCTATTCCATCCAATTTTGATTGAATCTATCAAAAATGATTAACTTTAAATTATCGTTCTAATGGCTTAAACACACACACACATACAGACACAGACATATATACGTACACTCAGATTTATGTATAAAGAGAAAGTGAAAAGTTAGAATTTGCAAAATTCGATTTTATTTTATGGTCACAAAGACGAAGCACAAAATAGCTCCAACAATCGAAAAAGGAAGAAAAAAAGAGAAAACTTTCAAATTTTTTCACAATAAGTTTCTGTTTTCTTTCTTGAAATTGCTGTGTTCCAGTTAAAGAAGACGAAGAAATATATTGAAATGATCTAATAAATGGAAAAAGTAAATTTTGATTATAATCCCGCCAAAACAAAGTATTATTTGGCGCTAATGAACTAACAACAGTGTAACAATTATCTAACATACATGCATACATTTATTGATTTGTCTCATTTAGACAAAATATTGCAGTTCAACAGATTATCCCAGTAATTAAACTATCGAACTATCAAAAAAAAAGTTAGGTTATATTAAAATTGAATTGATCAGTGATAGTTATGATGATAGAGTATGTGAAAAGATAGGAAATTTTCAACTGAGTTAATTACATCATCATAGAAAATTGTTGATCAAAAATTTTTCCTTCTTTTTTTTGTTGCTGTTGTTTTGATAAATATGAAAAATTACTGTTATTCCTAATTAATTATGGTATAATTTAAAAATGTTTGGAATTGATCAAATTTAATCGAAGTTTCGAAAATACTAAAATGTATGAGATGGAATAAAATAAATGAACGAACATTCAAATTACATTGAATTTGTTTTAAATTGAACCAAATTAAATTAAGAATAAATTTTAGCTTTTCTGATAAGATTTTAAGGCAAAGTTTTGAGGTAGCAAGGAAAAGAAGAAAAAGAGAGAGAGAGAGAGAAAAAAAAAGACAAGAAAATGAAAATGAAATGAAAAATGTTGGGAGTAAATCATTTTCTTTTTTTTTTCTTCCGTTTTTAGTTCATTTAACATTTGCCATCTTATCCTCATTTTCTCTTGTCTTTACCTTTTTTCTTTTTCCTTTTTATTCTTAATTTTTTTTTTTCTTCTCAAAGGTAAAATGTAATTGGATCGATTGATATTTATATTATGCATGCACACACACATATGTGCATTATTTAAATTACTTTTCACGTGAAGTATTTATTTCTTGTTCGGAAAGCAATTTAATATTTTAAATAAATTGAAATGATTTGTAAAAACAATTTTAATATTTTCTTTTCTTAAAAAAACGCGAAAAAATGAAGCAGAAAGCGAGAGAGAGAGAAAGAGAGAGAGAGAAAGAGAGAGAAAGAAAGAATAAAAGAAGGAACGAACGAATATGTTAAGGGCGATAAAATGATTCACAGAAAGCCAAGAAACTATGAAAGTCTGAGGCTTTAAATGTGCCTAAGGCATGCTAACTTACTGCTTACGTAAATGAATAATAACAGAATTTACTTCTCTATTGCCTATTTATTAGTATGAATGAAATTTGAAATTTCTTACAAAACGAAGAATTAAAAAATGAAATGCTTTAGCATAAATATGAGAATGAAAAAGGAAGAAGAAACAAGTAAAAATTTATTTAAATTATTTATAGAAAAGAAATGGTTGAGATTTTGTTGAAATCTAATAATTAATATAAATTCCTTTCGAGATTTTCAATTTATCACTTTGAATGTTAATAAATTTAGCAAAGAACTTATACATATTATATGAAAAATGTAATTAATAATAGGTGAATTTTGTGAAATAAATATCCAGGGTGATTTTCACATAACTATGCGATGAAGTGTTTTACTCTGCTAGAAAATAATGAAATTTATGTTTAAAACCATACACATCATATTACAGTTATTTAACGACAACAAACGTAATGAATGAAATAATAGAAAATAATTATCTTAAGATTATTTCACAGTTATAAGGTAGTAATTGAGAAGAATAAAAATGAATTCTGAAGCTAATAAGAGAAAATGAGAAATAATGAAGTCAATTTCGTTACGAATTAATGTTATTTGTCGCAGTAACATTACAACTTAATGTGAAAATCAAACAGCAGCTAATTCTTCCTAATTTGTTCTGCTTAGAATGAACAAAAATAAAATTTTTATGCCATTTTTTTCTCGAATATTTTGAAATGTTAAAATTTACATTTAAAATTTCAGTTTTTGATAAAAGTTATTTGTCTGTGAGAAAAAATCTTCATTTTCTTTAAATAATTTTAGAGCATTTGCTTTATTGTTTTTTCATCTCAAAATTTGATGTTAGTTATAAATTACTACAAATAATGAGCAAAAATTATTTAATATAATAATAAAAGTTCATACCTAACATTTAAAACAAAATAAATAGAAAATGCAATTTGAAACTATGAATCTTAATTTTGAGGTAATTTTATATCTCATTTTACATTTCACTTTAGTACTTAATGAAGCATATTTTAACACATCAAAAAGATCAAGTTGATATATATTATTTATGATCATTTGAGTAGCTTACATATTAAAGTTGTTTATTGCTATCCTAAAATTAGTTTTTAACATTAGGATGATTATCAGTTAATAAAACATAACTTTCAGTTAATTTTCTTAAAATGAAAACTCAAATATCAATCATCCTATAGAGTAATTATCGAGGACCATTACTCCTTAATTTCATCAACTACGTTTGAAAATGACAGAAATATATTCAACCGAACTTGTATACTTATTTATCAGCAATTTTGATTGAAATTTCGATGTTTAAAAGTTTTTTTTTAGATTTAGAACACTTTACTTTAAATATTGATTCCGCCATATCTTTGCAAAATTCGACAATTTTTAAGGCAAATAATTTTCAAGTTGTGACATTTGTGTATGTGACTATAGTTTCACATTAAACTTATAATGCATAATGTAAAGTAAGTTTTTCAGTATAATCTATAAAACTTACAGGTAACAGTAATAGAAATATATACTTACACAGTGATAATACGCGATGGTAAGTATAGTATATGGTTTTAAAACTTCCAATTGCTAATAACGACTGCAGTACATTTTATAATAGCATATTAGTTGGGCATATAGCATAAATCACAATAGCATATTATTTATCTTGCAAAGCTATTTGTGCTCACGTGTGTCACACGTATGTCATACGTGTGTAGCGTAAACACTTAATAACAAAATTTGATAAACGTTCATTTAACTACCGAACAAAACAAAATGCGACAAAGCATTTTTCATTTTTAAGTTCCCAATAAATTCACTCTTGCACTATAACGCTGTATAAACTGAACAGATTCACGCCAAGCTAGTCTACCTACCGTTTCCTTAGAAAGTTTTGGGATCTTTGGTGCTCGAATAAGTGGATGGATGATATGGTGAGTGCCATCGTGGTGTTTGGTGATGCTATGTAATGCTTATCCCGGGACTTACTGGAAGTGGTGTGTTGTGTCTGGTGTCGAGATAATCTCTTAGTCGAATTGTAACAATAATTTATAACATTAAATTCCAACATTAAGTCATCGAGTGCACCCTCTTGTCGCCCTACAATTTTACGATGAAATTTTTACTTCTTGTGTAACTTTGATTGTTTCACATTAGATATATTTTTATTATATCCAGCTTAAAAGCAATATCGTTGCCTAGTTTTTGCTTACAGTGCAAGAAACTTCTCATATCGTCAGCCTCTTTGATAGTAAAACAAGTAATGTTTACTTTCTTTCTCATGTTTTTGTTATTTCTCTACAGGGAATTTCCTCGATGTTTTCCACAAGTATTTTTCTCGAAATCAGTGTAATTCTCTTTTGCTTTCTCACCATTCTGTTTTCTAAATAATTTTCAGTTTTCGGGTTACGGTTTTGTGTTTTGAAGTCGGTATATTCCAGCGCTTTTTTTTTCTGCCCTAAGTTGAACTCTTCCTGAAATAAGTTCAACTAATTTCACTTATTTGTAGGGTCACTCAACGGGGAACGGTACACTATTTGGTTTGGGATGAGCTTCGCCGGAGTCGGAACGCGAGGTAATAATCCATATTTATTTTAAGAAGTTTTATTTCGTGAAGCAAAGAATTGAGACTTCTTTTAGTAGTCGTAGAAATGTATTGCCTGTCTCGAGTAATGTTTTTCGACATCTGAAGTATTTTTTGTAGTGAGTAATTCAGAAGCACATTTTCTTTAGCGTACGGGAAGTTGAAATCCTTTTAGATAAGACCAGGAAAAAAAAATGAATGGTGCAGTCGGTCATATTTATGGAAGAAGTGAGTATTTGCCCCAAACAGTTGAATGGGTCAAATCGGGCAGTTATTGTAAAGAACATCTGCACCATTGGGAAGGTTTCAAGAAGCTGGTTATTGTTGTCTCATTTAGGGTACGGAGATTTTGCCGGTTTGGGAAATTTCAACAATTTTGAAAGCAGTGTTGATCATCAACAACCACCACACATTGCAATGGACGAAGGAGCTACCCCTCAACCGCTTTCGGGCAACGGTCGTCGCTCGGGCAACAGCACTTATAACTTGCAGCAGGTAAGGGGAATGAGATTTGAATGTCGAATTTTGCCTTAAATTCAAGGAATTCTCTACCGACGCTTTTGTAAAGATTGATTATAGTGTACAATCGGATATGTTGCGTGAGGGCATCTCAATTGCAGGAAATTATTTGGATTAAGCAAGATTCGGCTCAGATTCGCAACGCTGTTGTTCTGCTGGAAAAGGAAAAGGATAACTTACGACAAGCAGTTCGGAAACTCAAAGTCTGAATACTTTTCCAAACTTTGTTAAACCTTTTTTTCAAATCCTCAATAGATTTAATTTATAGTTTCCAAGGGGTGTGCGTGAATACATAGTTTGCGTTTGTAGTCGTAAACATTTATCACTGTTAACATATCACAAACGTTATGATTCCACTCAAGTTTCATGTCTAATACTATGTCGTTTTTGGCTACGTCGAATTTCTGGGTATCGTGGAGAGCGTTGTTCACAACGTCCTTTACATTCCAGTTTCCCGATACACACTTCAATATGGTGATGAAATGTTTTGGAGTATTGTTGATTCCATGTTTCAGTTGGAAAACGCACGAGTGAAGCAGAAGGTAAAGCGCATGCAGGAGACCATCAATGGGTTGAGTGGAGTATCAGCTGAAACAGATAATCTCAAAGTTGGGGCAACTGAGGCGGATTTGGATTATGACGATATTGGACGTGACTTCATTCTTGTGGGAGGTCTGCATATTGTTTAGAATTTATCTCAGCATTATGTTAAGTAGTTAGAGAGAATTATATAAAAAAATTTTTTTTTCTCTTTAACTTCACAAATTCCATGTAAAGATTTATTTGCAGGTGCTCAGGATCCCCTTAGTTTGAGATTCGAAGTTTCTATCCGGGATGAGAGAGGCATCGAGCATAAATCAGCTGAGCGCTATTACTGGTAAATTTCATTAGGTTAAAGTTTATAAGTTTTTTCCTCTGCATAGTAAATCGTTTGGTATTGCAGTTGTTGCTGATGTGAAACTACGTGGAATTATTGTTTTTAGGTACAAAATGGCCGAACATTTTGGAGATACAGAAACAATGGCAAAAATTCTGGATGCTCCTTCCACAATCAAAGCAGAAGAAGCAATGAAGGACATTAAGGATTTCGATGAGGCGAAGTGGAATGAAGTAATTTACAATCCGTTATCATTTTCATCGCAGTGTTATGAGATTAATTGTCTGGAAGTGTATTTGAAGTTTATGAACACTCTGTATTATTTCTTATCAGTCAATTGATTTTTCAGGTGAAAATGAATGTATGGGAAACTGGCCAGCGTCTGAAGCTCGAGCAGACACGCTGGATTGCTAATCTGCTAGTTTATACCGGGAAGACATATATTGCTGTTGCTTCGCAAGATAAAGTATGCATTTTTGAGAAAATTTGAAGTTTCAGAATTTATTTACATATATTTTAAATTATTCAGAATATATTACTTCTTTTGTAGGTTTTCGGTACCGGTTGGCGTAAAAATCGTGATGAGGCAAATAAGCCAATTTTCTGGGATGGTGAGAATCAGGGCGGTAAAGCGCTTATGAGACTTCGTCAACAAATCAAAGAAACACACACTTGGTCAGGCCCATATGAAGAACAGGTAGGTTTTTGTTCGTGTATATACATGTTAGTAAAATTTCAGTGCATATTTTATGCATACTGCTAGAAATGATTACCCGCAGTATTAAATTTATATGATTTCTTTTTAATCACGGCTATAGAAAAATTGTTTATTTGCACATTATGGAAGAACTGTTTTTTATATTTAGGAAATAGAAAAGCGTTTCAATGAGTTGAAGAAGTACGTCTGGCGCCGTATTGACCCAGCACGTCGTCTTGGGATCCTGCGTGGTCGTGCGCGTGGTTTTGGACGCCGTGGTGGCTATGGCGGTCGTGGTTACGGTGCACCAAGCGCTGGTTTCCCACAGACAATTCGCCATTAATCCAGCCGTTTAGGAGAAGAATTTGACTTTGAGTTATCAGAAAACTAGTGGTGTTTTAAAAGTGCTGATTTCTTTCTGCGTCACTATTGTACTATTTGTACACATAATAATAATTGATAGCTATTTCCAATGACGCTCTTCATTTCACGGTTTCTTATTTGTTTTTTCTTTCTTCGCCCCGTTGATTTTTGCACCGCTTTGTCGGCGATTTATTCTTCTTTCATCCACAATAATGCATTTTTTTTTCCTTTTTTTTTTTGGACGAGAGCACCTGTTTCTTCATCATTTATTGTCATCATCAGGTTGATGATTGGATTGGTGGTCTTCCTGCTATTAAATTATTCCATTTTATGTGATTGATTTTTGATTTTCTCTATCGATAAAAAAATTTTTAAAAGTCTCCTTAGAAGCTTTTTTTTCCAAGTTTCTTAAAAGCTGAAATTTTAGAATTTTTCTCCATGTAACCATGTTTTTTAAGTTATTTCTTTTCTAGAACTCTATATTTCCGCGGAAATTTTCATGCATTTCCGACGTAGCGGTCATTTCTTTAATTTCACAACATTTTTTTGCCTGTTGCGGTTTTGTGATTAACTTTTCAAAGTTTTATGTTTGCGGTTTATGGGAGATGAGTTTTAACCGTTTTGTGTATTTTTTTTTCTGGTATTATACGTAGAACTGAAAAAAAAGAAAAAGTAGTGTTGTCATATTGGTGTATGTTGTCTTCAGGTAAAGCAAAATTTATGCAGGCATCATGAATTGCAGTGAAAAAATTCCAAGTATGACAGTTTTTTAAAAGTTATGTCGCAGCATATTATGTTTGTTAAAAGGATTTTTTTAGTAATAAATTGTTCTTTTCATTATACTTGTTAAGCATGACAGGTTGCCATGAAATTAGTTAAAACAGATGTCTGTGATATGGCAGGTTGAAGTCCTTATGAGTGGTTGGGAGTGACCTGTGATGGATGGAATTGGGCACTTCTCGGTTGGTACTTTCAAGAACGAGGCGTTTTTTAGCACCATGGGAACACTTTCAAATAGTGTCAATATGCATGTTTCAAATTAAGATTATAGCAATGCGGTAGGTGGTAGGCATTTACAAGACAAGCAACTATATGTTCATTCTTGCATTAAGTTGATTTGGTAGGTTTTCGTTTTATGTTTCATATGGTGCAGATCTACCCCACCCATATTTAATCTTATATATAATTAAGCTTCTATTCATAGATAAAATTAAAATTTTATTTCCCATTTGTCACATATAATACCATTACATAAAATAAAATATAAAAATGATAAAGAAGGGAAATTTATGTTGCATTAGTAATTTCCCAGTCATAGGGATCATTTGGTCTAGCATTTAGTGGAATGCATCGTTTAATACATTCGTTAATAAAACTATGCCGTGGCATGTCCGTTGGCTTTAGACTTTTAACATAATTATAGCATTGCAAAAATGGTGGCGGCATTTGTGCGCATAATTCTTCACCGGTAATTGCCGCCTTTTTTTGTATCATATCACGGGGCGCACTCTTTGCCCATGGTAATTTTGATAATGCTAATTCGATCTGAAGAAAATTTAACTCTCTCTCTCTCTCTGTCATCATTTATTTTTAATAGTAATTTTATTTATTTATTATTATTATTACCATTGTTATTATATTAATTATTATTAAATTATTGATTTCTTATTTTATTTTCTATTAATTCTTTAAATAAATTTTTATAAAAGATATTCTGAAAGAAAAATAAAAAAAGAAAAAAGAAGCAACTAATTTTGATATATAAAACGAAGTTCTCTATCAGTTCTCATATTATATTATTTTATACTTGAAGTTTTTTACTAAAATTTTATTAAAATAAATAGGTTCTAAGATGAAAAAAATATCTACAAGTCTATACATATACATTAAGCATAATTGTTTTTAATTTTCCACATTATATTTAAAATTGATTGCAATTATAAATATGTATTAAATATAATTAAAAAACTATATTAATTGTGATTAGTAATAATATAATTTAAAATTAATTATAATTATATATAATTAAAAGATTATTAACATGTTTAATAAATTCATCTGTAGCTTTTCAATCAGTTATCATTATTTTTTTATGATGAAAAAGAAAAGCGAAGAAAAAACGTAATTAATGATTTTGTTTGATTTATCAATATCAGTATTGTCATAAGCAGATAATGTCGCTATTTTTTTATGAATTGAAAATGTAATATATTTTTTTTTTTTTTAAACATACTATTCACAAATTAATATATCAGAACAAATAGAAGGAAATTTCAATGGTTTTATTGAATTTCATAAAAATGAATGCTAATAACATCTGTTATTAATTTTATTTTCTTTTTAAAATCTTACAATGGAATAAATCCATCCCATCATATCGTCACATGGCCCACATTGACGTGTAAGAATTGCATTCAACGAAGCATATCGTAAAGTTCCTTTAAATATTGATTTTAATAGCGGCATGTGCCATTTACCATTTGAATCGATCACTTTTCGGCACATTCCTTAAAGAAAGAAAAAAAAAAAAAAAACATTTTATTTAACTTTTTTCTTTATTTCTTTCTTGGTATTAAAGAAAAAAAAAATTTTTTTTTTTTTGATTAACAAAAAATAAAGTTAAATATTTGCAGCTTCCTCTTTTGCCCTCTTTCATATTTTAATTAATTATTAATAGATAATTGTCTTGTTTGTGAATTAACGATTAGATTAACAACAAAAAGAATTTCATATGATTGCTCGATAAGATAACAGCAAACATTCATTCATGTTATTTCCTTTCTTGATCAGAATAATAGATAAAGATGTTATGCATTGAAGAATTGAAAACAATTTTTAAAAAATAGGATAAAAAATTTTTTTTCATATTTTTTTAAAGAACAAAAAAGTTTATTTATTGGTTTTGTTTCCTTTCTTTTTAACTTATAAATTAAGCTGAAATGACAAAAAGAGATGAATACCAAAGTCAACAAGATAAATGATGGATGTTTCGGGTGGAACACCAATGCAACAATTTGATGGTTTAACATCGCGGTGTATATAACCTGCTTCATGCAAATACTGCAATGCATGTGCCACCTGCATATTATTTTTTACTCTAATTTATGTTGCTTTTCCTTTAAGTTATGAAATGTTATCATAATTAAATTCAAATGTCTTACTGCAAATTTTTGTAGTTTTTTTAAAATGAAATAAAACTTTTTGATAAATTATAAAAATTTAGCATTTAATATGCAATTCTATCATTATTAATATCATTGCTTATTACTGCTATAATCATTATTAACAATGTTACCATCTTCGCGATAATAATATTATTGTTTTATTATTATTTACTATTATTATTATTGTTATCATTGTTATTATTATTACTAATTGTTATTAACATTACTGTTATTACTGCTGCTATTATTAGTTGTTAATATTGTTATATTGATCCACTGATTTCCTATTGTCTTGGAATATTTGAAAAAAAAAAAAATGATATTGAATATTTTTTTTCCGCCTTTTTCCCCTTTGAGAAAAGATAAAAATGCAAAATGAAATGAACTGTTCAAATTTATTTATTGCGTAAAGATTTCATCGTTGCAAAGCACAGAATCAAAATGAAATTCGTGCTTCATTCATATCACTAGGAAGGAAATGATGATAATATAATAATAATAATAAATATAGTGCTGAATTACTTGTTGGCCAGTACGGAATGCTGTTGATAAAGTGAACTTTGGTTCCGTTCGTTCTTTCCGTAACGTCGTCAAATTTTTTCCCAGTATTTGCATCACAATATACGGACAATTCCTTTCTGTTTTTCCACTTGCATATATCATTGGTATGTTGGGCTATACAATAAGTAAGAAAATCTATTCAGTTAGAAAAACAGTACTAATTATCCCATAATTCAAACAGAGAATTTTTTAATAATAAATCGTTAAGTTTTTAATTTAAGTCAATGTTTAATCAATTTTGTTTCATATTAATAAAAGCTATTTTCTAGTATTCTCAAAGCTAAATTTATTAGCAAAAATATTTAGCATGAATTGTTTTGAATAAAATTGAGGTTGTTCTGAACTGCTGATAGTTTATAAATTTATTAAGCTATTCCTCGTGTATTTGAAGAAATGTTTTTGCCTGCCATTAATATAAGTAGTATTTTTAAGCTTATCATTTAAAAAATAGTTGATACACTTAAATTCATGAAACAATTTTAAACATGCAGCGTATTATTCTTTATATGGGAATAGAATGGAAATATTTCAATTGAAGGAAAAAAAAGATTCGAGAGAAAAAAGTTTTCCATTTTTGACTAAATTAATTGATTCAAATTTTAATGCATAATTTTTTTTTTTGTTTTTGTATTCTATTATTTTTAGTTTTACCAGAAATATTATTAAAATGACGATGATTAAAGGACTTTTTTTCGTAGTGTTAGTAGGACTTGTTGTTCGATGACTAAACGACGCGGATCATTCGGCGCATTATCTAATTCACCGTGATGTTCTGGTTCCACTTTTATTGCTACAGTTCGTTTTTGACGTTTATCTTTTCCTCTGATGTTATAAAAAAGTTTTGATGAAAAATTATTTTTGTTAAAACTTCTGGTTCAATTTTTGAAAACCCATTTTCTTAAATTCATTTTTTTCTCAACATCTTACAAGAGAAAATTTAAAAATTTCGATAAAGGTTCAAAATAAAGTTGGTATAAGTTAAAAAAAAATAAAAAAAAACTCTGATTTCATTTTTCCGGTTCTAAAGAAAAATGTGTGAAATGGAAAAGAAACTGCAATTCATTTCTATATATAAAAAAAAAAAATACTCTATGCTAATTTTATGGATTATTAACCCAGAGATATGTAACTTATTTTATGGTTAATTCTTCAGATAAATCGTATAATTGAATAACTGAATGAGCTAAGGGTAAATTTATATTTAAATGCATTTTTCTGTCCACATTGTTCTATTTTCTTTTAATTTTTCTTACTTCTTTTCGTTTCTTTTTATATTATGAAATGTAACTGAAAATGATAAAATACGGACAGTGATAAAACGGTAATTCAATTCTTAAGTATTTCATTAAAATTATACAAAATAAAACAAACTTCGATTACGACGAATTCAAATGATTCAAACCAAAAAATTAAAAAAAAAAACACTGAGAAAAAGGCAGACTATAATATAATTTTATTACAACGAATGTTGTACGACTATTATAGGGAAATTTAATAAAAAAAAAAAAAAAAAAAGAAAATAGTAGAAAGTGCCTAAAAATCTGCCCAAAGCTTCCCTGCCCAATTTTTTCTTCTACAACAAAGCGACCAATGATGACTTCATTTGCCAATAATAAATCTTCCGCTTCATTTAAATCATCTAAATTATTATTATCATTATATTTTTATTGTCATCATCATTATCATTACTATCATCGTCATTATCACCATTAATTATTAACTCATTTTCATTACATTTTCATCAATAATAGTGATAATAATAATAATAATAATAATAATAATGGTAAAATTTGAATTTCTAAAGGACAAATGTTTTTTATAGGAAAATTTAATAGAGCCATTAAAAGATACATTGATCACTGGTAAATATGCTTCCTACAATCTATTAATAATTAAATATCACTGATAGCAGCATTAAGTAGAAAGGAAAAAAAAGTTGAATTCAATTAAAAAAATTTTTATGATATGAGAAATGGTACCACGTGGCATAACACTTCGATCACACGCAGAGGTCATCGTAGAGTGAATCAAGCTGCACGAAACAAACCAAAACACAATTCCGAATCTGAATTTGAGCCTAAACTAATTAATACAGCTACCTTTTAACAACAATAAATTTAAAAATTATTATTTGATTAGAATTCTACAGTATATCTAAACATTTTTCTCGAATTTGCATATTTATGCTAATTCAATTCCATTCATTATTTCATTTTCGCCATCATAACTTATTTAAATTTAGATGTAGTATTTTCGTTTTTTTTAATGGAATTTTTTCTTTTTTCAATTTTATTTAACTCACTCAATTTCAGTTAAACTTATCTGATATCATTTTTAATGACTTAGCTAACATCACTTTTAAACCTTTTTCCTCTACAGATTGCATTTAGCTGACAATCTGTTATTGCCTTATGCGCAGAACATATCCCATGCTATTTAGCTTTTACTCAGAATTATTTTCTTCTCTTATATCCGAAATCTTTCTTTACTCTTTACTTTTCCTCAAGAATATCATTTTGCTTTAATTTCTTCGCTAAATACCTTTCCTCTGTATTCTTTTAATGGAATATTTCTTCAACGAAGCACTTTTTTGCATTATAATTTATCGACCATTTTTTTTTTGGTAAGAAACAAATTTATTTAAATAAATTGTTTCTAAATAATTTTTTGATTTTCTTTTTGATATATTCTATTTTACTTTTTCTAATCTTTTTTTCTCTCCAATTTTTTCTTTCCTTGTTCTTTTTTCTTTGCTTATTTTTTCATACCATCTTTTAATCGCGTTTGCCCTTTTTGTTTTTTCCTTTCCTTTTTTCACTTTTTTTTTCATTTCCGTTTATTTTCACAATATTAAAATCATAAATTTTGTTTAAAAATGATCAAATCGCAGTAGCAGAAATAGTTTAGATAAAAATTCATTTATGTCTTTTTTTTCATACACTAATTTTTAAATTAATTTTTTTTTTTTAATTTTTAAATTAACTTTTTTTCCTTCTCTTACTTTCTCCTTCTCTTTCTCTCCTCCTGAAATTACGACTAAAAAGGATGAAAAAAGGTGTTAAAGAGAGAAAATTTAATTGCAATAATTTATAATGCGATAGTTTCGGTTAAAACGGTAAGTCTATTATAAGTATTATAATAAACTTCCCTTTTTTTTCGATTTTTTTTCTTTCAAAAAAATTTCAACATTTATTTCTTCTCTCTCTTTCTCTCCTTCTCTTGAAATTCCTAATTTCTTGAGAAAATCATCACCATTCTTCATCTTTTTTTCTTCATAACTGTTATCAGATTTTGATTTATTTTTTATTTCGCATTTTAAAATTATTGTTATTATACCATAACGATGTTTAAAAAGTAAGCATTTTGAAATGGAAAGGAAATAAATTTCAGATTATTTTTTTTTTCAAACCTTTTTGTGGCAATGTTATCAAATAATTGTTAATCGACCAACAATAAATTAGTGTAATTTGATCAATTTGATGGTTTACACACAAATGGCATAGCCATTCATGTCATTTAATAAATTCTAATCAAAGAGTGGGACAATTTAAGAAATGACATCAATTAAAATGAAATGACATGCAAATATAGTTGAAAAACGAAAAAAAGAAAACATCGATAAACTTGAAAGATATTAGAAAAGACATGAAAACGAGAAGTATTGATTTAAAAAAAAAAAAAAAAAAAATTGGGAATATAAAATTATTATAATCAATAATCGCAAAAATGAAACCTAACAATTTTTAATACTAATTAAAATACTTTGGATAATATCATTTGAGAAATTAAAACTGCAACTGCAATTACATTCAAATAAAAATTGATAATTATGAAATTTTTATTCAATACCTTTCTTCATTTTTCAAAAAAGAGGAAGTTAAAAACGAAAAGATAAAAAAAATTGGAAGAAAAGGCGAAATGACTTCATATTCTTACTTGTTGTTCTATAAAAAAAAGAAAAAAAAATTCAATTTTCATTATTTAAATCACCTTTTTCAAAAGAAAGAAAAAAAACTCAATCGCTTTTTTGAGATATTTCAAAAAAATAAAAAATAAAATAAAATGAAAAAAAAAAAATAGAATTTTTAAGCTGTTATTAAAATATTAGTGCCCAATTGAATTTATTTAATTTGTTCAATTTAATTTTTTTTAAGATTTCATCGATTATAATTTCAAAGAAACATTATATTATTTTAATTAAGATTCACCTTAGTGGAAATTTTAACCAATGAAATAATAGGTTTATTACGCACAATGATAATAATTGTTAAATATTTTAAAATTATTTCCCAAAATTGCAAACAGCTGTTTGCGCTTAAGATGAAATTTCATCAAAGGAAGATAGAATTAATAGAAAATTTAATAATTTAAAACGAAATTTTTTTAAAAAAAAAAAAAAAATTGTACGTTTTCATTATCATTCATTGATATTTAATAATTTGAGGTACAATGATTTTTAGCTCTTATCATTTTCATTTTTTGGTTTGAACAAAAAATTTCAATTTCTTCATTTATTCGCTTTGACTTTTCTAAATTTTCCTCCATAAATGATATACATGAGAAGAAAGTAAGAAGAAAAAAAAGCAAAAAGCAAAGCAGAGAGCAAAAAGTGTAAAAAGCCAAAAAAAAGGAAATATAAAAATTCAATTTAGTCTCAAAGCGATATTTGAAAAAACTAAATCAAATTCGATTTATTTAAAATATATTAAAAAGTTTTAGCAAATATCAAATAAAATGATGCAAAAAAAAGAAGAAACGAAAAGGAAAAGAAGAAATTTTTAAAAAAAGAGAAAAAAAATAGATGAAAGAATGAAAGAAAATGTGCGGAAATGTTCTATTCAATATTTTCTCTGCTAAAATTGTTCATTTTCACACCTTGCATGTAATAAATACAATTACTGTTTTTTTTTTTTTTCAAACAATTTTGCTATTATTATTACTATTATTGTTTTTCTTATTATTTTTAATAATAATATTATTATTATTGTTGTTGTTATTATTATTATTGTTATTAACCATTAGTATTAATTATCATTATTATTACACGATAGCAAATATAATATGCTGTTTAATACATTGTTTTTTATTTTAGAAGTTTTTATTTTAGATTGAGCATTGATTATTTGAACTGGTATTCTATTCTATGGGAATTAATATCGCATGAAATTGCGATAGATTTTTGGTATTTAATGCATTAAACTTTAACAGTTAAAATTAAACAAGTTATTTGTATTTTTTTAACTTGTTTAACAATTATTTTTTTTGCAGCTATACAACTTATAAATAAACAATAATACAATGACATAACCAAGGTTCTAGCAGTGCTACGCGACGTGACTAAACTACTACTACGTCATTGACGACATCATTATAACATTGTTTAGCTTCAATCATAAATATTCATTCATTTCCAGATAATTTAGATTAATGTGCATATTTATTATAAATGCAAGAATTATCTGAATAATACCTTTAACGCAGAGATAAAGAGAGAGAGAGAGAAAGAGAGAGAGAGGAAGAGAGGAAGAAATAGAAAGAAAAAAATTGAGGAAGAAAAAAGAAGCAAACTAAATTACTTGGCTCATTTTGAAAAAAAAAAAATTTTTTTTTGCAGGGAATACACGAGATATAAAGTGCTTTAAAAGTAGTTTTCATCTGTTTATTGCGGGTAGCAAAAAAAAAAAAGGGAAAAAAAAGACGAAAATTAAGAAAAGAAATGTAAATTGCATTTCAAATTGATTTATTTCAACACTTAACTTCTTTCAGAAATCTTTTCCATTTTTTAAAAGCATATTATTTTTTTTTTTGTAAATTGATTTTTTTTGGATAAAATTTTCAAAAACGCTTTTCATTATTTTTTTTTTTACTGTTAAAATTAAAAATATTGGAGAAGGATCGTTTTTTTCATTGCAGAATTATGGCAATCTTTTACATTAAATTAACTGTGCTTATTTTAGCACTAGTAATTACGTCATTGAGAAATTTTTTGAAGTAATTATTAATCACTGGCAATTTTCTAAAATATATTTGAAAAAAAAATTATGTTTCATTTGTTGCAAATGTTGTGCTGAAGACAAATATCATTAACCTTCCTTTTCACTTCTTCCGCTTATTTCATTACATCATTTAAATCTTTCATTTAATAAGGTTGCTAGTATCATTCAGAGATAACTTAGAAAATGTGCCTATTAGCGCTTGAAATGAAACGAAAAAAAAAGTTAAAATTGAATAGAATTAGGCCCTGAAGTGCTTTTTTGCTTTGCTTGCTAGTTTGAATGTTAAAGACTAAATTCAATATTATTGCTGTCAATTTTTCTTCCTCTCTCTCTCTTTCCCTCTCTTTTTCATATTTTCTCCAGTCCCTTCCATTCTTTTCTCTTTCAGATAAAATTAAAGAGCGTGATAATTCAGTTTGTATCGGTTTTACAAAGTCATCTTCGGAAAAAAGAAAAACAAACTTTGTTAAGGAAATTTAAAAAATTTGACCTCAAAATTTTTTGTTTTCTTATCTTGTTTTTTGTTTTTATTTCAAATAAGACTTAGACAATGAATGATTAATCATATGTCACTTTGCCTTTATTTTTGTTCTTTGTTTTCTTTTTCTAATTTGCTACTTATCATTTTTCATTTCCATCCACTTTACATCTTATGAGAAATGAAAAACTGACAGATGCTTGCTTACTTGTTTTATTTTCGTTTCAAAGATTCAATTTTAAATTTACACTTTTTTGATGTTTCTTTTTTTATGTTAGAAATGTAACGTAAAAGTTAAAAAATCAGAAAAACAATATTTATTTATCGATGCTTTTTTTTGCTTTTTAAAATCATTTTTTCAATTCTTTTTTAATTACTAATGTAATGATGAAATTTAGCTGAAACCATTAACATTTCAACATTTGCTATAATTTCAGTTTCTCGTCTCTTTTGCTTTTCATTATCATTCATACATTGTTTAGTTTGTTTCATTGCAAATCCGAAAAAATCTCATTTTCTTTAATTTCATCCCGAAAAATTTCCCAAATTTCTTTGTTTTTCTCTTCCTGTATTTGCCTTTATTTCATAGAAAAAACAACAAGGAAATAAATTTAACAAAAAGAGGGAGATTTTAATTTAATTTAATTTCTTTGAAAAAAATCAATGAAATTAAGGAGAAAGAAATAACTGTTCCAAATCTATAAAATTCTATTTCATTCACTTGATAGTCGTTGTAAATAAATAATAATAGTAGCAAAGTATTTTTATTAATTTAAATAATTGATCTACTACTGGTGGAAAACTGATTTTAAAAAATCCAAACTAAGTAAAATATTCAATCTCTTCCTCTAAAAACAAATATTCCATTTTATCCTTTTTACTTCAAAAAAAAAAGACAGTATCTTTATATTTAAAAAAATCTTTATATTAATCACTACACTAATTACTAAATTTTCTTTACAGCGGTCATTTCACAAATTAATTACTTATCCTATAAACACAAATGATTTGCAAATGCTTCTATATAACATTGGTAAATATGTTGCATTTACAAATAATTTCCATAAATTTTTCATCATTTCTATTCTTTCAAAAAAAAAAAAAGTTATTTGCAAATTGATGCATCGATGCGTTAATGCATGTATTTTGAATAAATTGTGTTTATACTTTGGATAAGCAAAAAACTTCGTCGAATTCTTCTGGCAATTTTTAAATCTTTTCTTTCTTTCCTTTTTTCAGCACCACAACCACAGAGGTTTCAATTTCAGAATTGCTCCTTCTCCAATTGCAATGCCATAATATTTTATCAAATTTCAGACATATTTTGCTCACAACTTTATCAAAATGTTGAACTGATAAGTTTAACATTTTGATAATTAGAGAACTTAAGGAACAAAAATGAAACCTCTAAATTATTCAAAAATCATATCCTTATATCTTTGAAAATAACTATGCCTAACCAACTTTTTTCTTTTTTATTTTAATCATTGCTATAATTTGAAAAGTTTTGCATCAAACAACATTTAGTATTGAATTAAGTACTACAGAATAATGATTATAGTGTCTTATATGAATTTAACTGGGCCAATTTTTCAATTTTCATCCATCATTACACTGTGAATTTTGCAACTTCGGCTGAATAACAACTTATTTTCTCATGTCTCATGATGAAATTCCTTAAGCAGGCTTGTTTTGACAAATTTTCATGCTTTAAAGCTCATATTTTATGCCCCAATCCTTTTCTTATCGTTTTAGAAAATTTATTTAAGCATTTATGTATCCATATTTATACTTATATTTATTTATATTTATATTATATTTATATTTGTACCTTTTATATTCACATTTATAACAAACATATAAAAGCTAAAGCGTTTTGAAATAATTACATTTTCAAAACTTTCATACATTTGCATAATTTGTTTTTTCTTTTTTTTTTTTTTTTTTTTTTTACGAAATTCTTTTAGCAGATAAAATGTGCGTAGTAAAAACTCGCTAATTTAAATACTTTTTCTTCTTTTTTTTCAGAATTATGTTAAATTAAAAGAAATTTAACAAAATTTTAACTTATTCATTTCATCAATTTTATACAAATAAGCAACAAAAAAACAATGAAAAAAACTAAATGATTTCAAAAATTTTAATGCTATTTGATGCATCTTTAATTAATTTCAAGCTCAGAGCTAATATTAAGTGATGTTTTCCCCATTCTTTCCATTCACATTCACTTTTCATTTTTCTTTTTGTTTTCTTTTTTTTTCTCCCAATTTTTTGTTTATTCTTGTCAGCACATTACCAATATATAAACTTAAATATATTTATAAATGTGCTTCATTAATTTCTCTTTACTTTTTGTTCAATTAATAAATTAAAACATAAATTAGCAAACTGCAAAAATTTTTAAATTTTATCATTTTTTTCACATTGTCCTTTTTATTTTGTACTCTTTTTGTCTTTTTCTTTTTTATTTCGCAAATTTTGCTAATAAATCTTTTTTTTTTAATTTCAAAATTTGTTTGTTTTATATTTTTGTCGTCTACATATTTCAGTTTTTTTTTCTGTTTTTTCTTTTTTTTTTTTTTTTTTTTTTTTTTCGCCAAAACTTTGATGAATAAACATTTTTGCTAACTTAAAAAATCCCTTCTTTGCTTTTCGTTTTTTCATCTCCCCAAGGTATATTTTATATTCGTGAAATGATCTTATTTAAGAGATGAATTTGGTTTATTTTTTTTTTGTTAAAAGCTACAGTATATTTAATCTGTTATTCTTTCCTTTCTCTAGTCATACAGTATACATTTTCTTTTCTTCTATGATAAACAAATTAATTTTATTAGTTATTTTTCTTTCCTCTCTTTTTTTTTTCTTTTTAAATAGATACTTGAATTGATTTCAATATTCCAAAGTAGCAATATTATCGTAATTGTTGATATAATTTGTTTTAATAACAAAATGACACAATTTTTCTAAGAATTTGAGATTAAATTTTAATTTGCTGTCATTTTATAAAGGTTGAAAAGTACATAAAACTATCAGGTAGACAAAGTTAAAACTTTATGACAAAATTAATTGATTGATCAAATAATTAGAAATAAGTTAGTTAATTCAATTATATTTTAAAATCAAATTAAAAACAAAAAAGAAAAGTGGATAGAAAGTAAGTAAGTATAACTAGTTAAGATTTGTATTCAGGGAATTATTACTGAGATATATATGCTTTTAAAACAAATGGAAACAATGGATTAATTCAATGTAAATATTTCCTTATATCTTCATCACGTCATCATGAAGATGTACAGACTAAAGAGACAGAGGGAGAGATGGACTGTTTGGTTAATGGATAAATGGATAGATGGATAGATAGATAGGTTGATCGATGGATAGATAAATAGGTAGATCGTTTGATAGATAGATAGGTTAATCGATGGACAGATAGAAAGTTTTTCTTGTTTACAAAGTAGCATTAGAAGGTTTCCTTCACTTTCTACTATCTTTTTGCTCCCGTCAGTAACTGACTGAGTAAAAATTTCACATTTTTTCCGTTCTTTTGCGCTTTTTGAAAAATTTTTGTTTTTTGATAAAGAAGAAAGAAAGCAAAAACGTAAGAAGGAAGTGAAGAAAAAACGAATTAACTATGAAAATTTTTTTTCACATAGAAATATAAAAACATGTATATATATGTATATATTTTGTATATATTCAAAAAAAAAAATTTATATATATTTATGATAAATTAATTTTGATATATAAACTAAAAATGTTAGTGAGTAAAAAAATTGCGTTCTTTCAATGAATAAGAAAGTTACAAAAATGTTAAAATAAATTTTCATATAAAACGTGGAAGAATTTTAAAGAGTTAAAAAAAGAATATATAAATAAATAATATTCACGAGAATTTTATTTTTTCTTAGTTTCATTTCATCTTTTAAAAATTTTTAATTAAATTTTTGAATAAAACGATGACGGAAACAAACACAACTAATGATGATACAACACAAGAACAGAAAGATGGAACATCACATCGTGGATTCAGTCAAAAAGTTCGAGGAATTTTATTGGAATCACAGTCAACTACATCCGATAAATTACCTGTAAGATTTGTCGCATTCTAATTGCATTGATAAATAAGATATACCTTTCTATGCTAGTAAAAGCATTATATATTACTTGTATTTTAATTTGCAATTTAAATAAATAAATAAATACGAAAAAGTAAGAAATAAAATATAAGAAATCTAATAAAGCAATAATTTTCCGTCCAATTAATGCAGTAATTATTTCCATTTAATATGATGTGATTAACAGTTTTATGAATTCACTTCAATGTTACATAAAAAAATGAACAAATAATCAAAAATCAAAATATATAATGAATTAAAATAATTGATTTTTGCATAAATTAATTGCAATTTTGCTACTTTATACTAATAATGATATATGAGTTATTTATTTAGGATATCTACTAATTTCTCAATTGGTTCTTCCTATTAAATTCATCAATCAGTTGTTCTTTTTTTCTTAATTTTAGCAAACAAAATAAATAGCTTATTTTTTTTTCAGATATTAATTGAATAAAGAAAATTTTAATTACTTCTTTTATTTGCTAATCAAACATTATCGCAGTTTTTTTCTGTTTTTCGTTTGTTTTGTTATTTTTTAGCTAATAAAAATACTTGCATATTATTAGGTGATTTAAAATTTAGTGAAATTATTAAAATGTTTTCATTTCATTCAGATTTCATTTTAATTTCAGAATATGCCAAATAAAAGTTTAAAAAAAAATGTTCAAACAACTACCGCACCACATCGTGGTTTTAATGAAAAGGCACGCGAGATGTTACTAGATCGCAAAAATCCAGGTATTATTGACCATTGTTTATTACTGACATTTCTTATAATGTAAGGAAATCCCGGGAAATGCGAAAAAAAAAAAGAATGCCATATTTCCGGAAGAAATTGATAATAATTACTGTGCAATTAAGCATTTTCACTTAATTGATCAAAATAGTGGTAATAAAAAAAACAAAGTTATTGTAGTCATAACAGCTATAGCTATAACAATAAAAATAACAGCAACAACAACAATAACAACAACTACTATTACTAATGCTACTATTAATGCTGTTGCAAAAACAATTCTTACAGCATTAATTTTATCGTCACAACAGTTGCTGCTAAATATTGCACATTAATTTAAAATTATTTTCATCAAACTTAAATAAGTATTAGAATTATTAATTTAATTTTCTGTTTCTATAAACTCTAAATTTAAACTTGCAACAACAAATTTTTTTCTTTCTTTCTGTAGCTTTATTTAATAAAAGATGAATAAATTTTCGATAATCTAATGAATTAAAAAAAAAAAAAAAAAAACATCCAAATCAAATGTCCATTTCCTTTTTCCCTTTTACCTCCCTCCTCCCCAAAAAAAAAAAAAAAAAAAATGAAAATAACAAAAGAAAAGAACGCAAAAATCAGCTAAATTCCTTTAATCTTTTCTTTTTTTTTGTCCTCATTTTCTTCGCTTGCTACTCCTTTAATGATTCTTAAAATGTTCATTAATGTTTGTTTATTGACTTTTATTTTTGAAAATTTTGCACTATGAAAATAGCATTTTACTCTTCTCATTACTTCAGTCATCTCAAATTAACTTACTACTTGTTTGTTCATTTCAAATTTGATTCAAAATGCATTTCAAGTTTTTTTCTCTTTCCTTTCATGAACAATGATTTAATTTAATTTTTGCGACAGCACGGAAAAAAGACGCACGTAGAAAAACAATAGAATACAAATAAATAAATAAAAAGAAAATGTGAATAAAAGAAAAAACGAGAACAGCAGCGACAACAACAATTCGATTTATTTTATGATAATCTATAATTAATAGTAGATTATCATAAAATCAATTAAATTTCTTTAGTCTTTTAATTTTAATTGATTTTTCAATTTTTGATTATTTAAAAAAAAAATGATATTTTTTTTCGTATTCCTTTTTCTTTGTGCACGAATGATATTTTTTTCTCAAAAATGAAATGAAAGGAAAAAAAGCTATTATTTTTTTTCCTTTTCCCATTTTAGCAAATTATTTCGTTTTTTTCTTTTTCCATTCCTCTGTCATCACATTGAATATTTAAATAAAGCGTGAAATTTGAGATTTTTATACTCAAAAGCTTTAAAAAAACACTTCTTTTCATTTAAATATTATGTTGATAAAACAATACGCAAATTAATCATTAATTACTTTTACTGAAAGGAAAATAAACGAAGTAATTAATGACAATTATTTTTCTAATTTTTTCTAATTAATTAATGACTAGTATTAATTAACGAAATTTATTATCAAATTTTAAATACAATAAAAGAAACTAAATGTTTACATTAAAAAAAAAAAAGGCTGTGTAGCTAAAAACAATTGCAATCCTTTCTGCTATTGAAGTGTTTCTCGTTTTTTCTCATCAAAAACACTGAAGCTATTCATCAAAACAATAAACATGTTCAATTTACTAAAAGGACTGCAATTGTTTGTTTATTAATGAGAAAGTATCAGCATAACCATGTTGACAATAATCTTTTTTTTTTCTATATTTTGGAAAAATACATTTCTGTGTAATGTGATATTCCACACGTTATTTTGCAAATTATCCATTACTTTATGCAATTAAAGTTTAAGAAAGGAAAAGGAAAATGAAATATTATGTTAATTTAAAATGATGTTAATAAAGTTATATTAATAAAAAATAATTTTAAAAGAATTGATCTTATATAAACTTTTCCATTTATAATTTTATAATTTCCAAAAACTTTTCCTTCACCCTCTCTCACTAATTTTTCTCGAAATAGATTTCACAATTGGTTAATTCATTAATTAGTTAGTTAATCATTTGTTAAAAATTTTTTTTCTTTTTTTTGTATTACATAAAATGAATAAGGAATATAATCAAAATTAAAGGATTTAAAAACAGAAAAACTAATTGCAAAATAAATTTCGTAGAAGTTGAAAAAAAAAAAAAGAAAACTAGTGTATAAATATATATAGTAGCTCACATTTATGATATCAAAAGAAAAGAAAATTGAATCAGAACAAAATTTAAAAAAAAAAAAAATTATAGAAATTAGAAATAAAAAAAAAAACTAAACAATGAATTAAAATTAGTTAATTAAAATTACAATCTTTTTGAAAAGAAAAATTTTGTTTCAGGAACAGCTTCATCTAAAGTTAAAGGAAGCGAAAAAATACGACATCTTCTTTAATTGACCGATCCTTCTCTTTTCTTACAACCGTGTCATCATTGTTAACAACCGGAAACCGGAATGAAGAAGTTAACGTAAAACCAATGATCAAATTCAACTTCTGTTTTATTCTTTTCACATAAATAAATAAAAAAAAAAAAAAAAAAACAAAAAAAAAAGACAAAAAATAAACCATTTCCAAGATTAACAAAAGAAGCGGTGAAAAAACAGAACAAAAGAAAAATCAGAACCAAATATTTTCTTCCAATCAATTATTTCATTTTTTTTTTGACTGTTATCTTATTACAGCTTGCTTATTATTATCACTATCATAATTATGGTTTATCATCTTTATCAATTATCACAAATTATTATTAATATTACAAATAATATATTATCGCTTCAGGCATATTGAGCTTCCTTACATTTTGCTTTATGTATTGTTGTGAATAAAATAAGTTAATATTTTTTCTTCTTTTTTTGTTTTTGTCTTTCTTTTGTTTATTGTTTTTTTTTTTTTAATATTTGGTACAAAAATATGGAAAAGTTTGAAAAAACGGGAAATGTATATGAAGAATGTTATAAAATTTATTATGCAAGGCGCATGAAAAATATTAATTGAAAATTTATTTAAATGTTAAATATTTTGTTAGATTTCATATTGTTAAATATTTAAAAAATGTTACAATTACTGATTGAAATTTCAGTGTGTGAAAGGTTTTAAAAACTAAAACGAAAAATGATGTGATAACTGATAAATGCAGAAAGAGAGAGAGAGAGGACAAGGAAGAGATGAAATTACCTGTCTTTAGCTCCTCACCTTAATAAATACTGACTGCATTGTATAGTGAAAGTGAAACAAGTTATTAGCAATTATTAAATTTTCTCATCGTACTAATGCAAAATACGCCTACCCAATAAATGATGAATGACGTGATAAGTATGACACGTAGCGCAAAATTTTTTTTTCTTCCTGGTTTATGTTGTATTAATTCAGGAATTTTATTAAAAAAGGAAAAAAAAAGTTACTAGCAATACTATACTACTTCAGTTAAATTTCAAATAAAGGTCAAATTCCATTGAAGTTGATAGCAAAAAAAGAAAAGGGATAATTTTTAATAAAATTAATCATTTCAATGCCATGTTTTGTTCCTCCATCTTCTCCTCTTATTTTCAAATACTTTATATTCGAAGAAAAAAAAAAAAGAAAACGAAATTAAATAGTTAATAATACTAGCAAAAAAAGGAAAAACTGAATGAGTATGAAGCATGGTGACAGAGAGGGAGAGAGAGGGGAAGAAGGGGAAGGAAATAAATGCATATAAAAAAATAGTACAGTTTAGAGGATGGGAAAAACAGAAATTTGGAATTCTTATATATATGTATGTATGTATAACTGATAAATGTAAATTATTATCACTGGACTTTAAATTAGAAAGCACAAAAATAAGAGTTGAATATGAATCTGAGAAAAAAGTAGTACACAAAAAAATAGCTGACAAACAAAGAGAAAATAGGAAGAGGCTAATTAATTACTACAAGTGATGACAATTTTGCTAGTTCTCAGTTGGAAAAAGAAATAAGGAATTTCAAGAATAGCAAACAAAGAAAGTAGAAAAAGTTGATGAAAGTAAAAAATTGAAAATTAACAAAGTAAGCAATAATTTCAATATAATTATATAATGAAAATTGATGTAATGATACTATAATAATAAACTACTCTCGGCATTACTTAAAAATCATCAACAGAAGGCATTATTAATGTTATATTTTTGGTGACTTAAGATTGACCATTTTCCTTGACCACCTTGAAAGAGAAAACAAAAACAGAATTAAAATCCTTCCCCTCTTTTCACTTCTTTCTTCTTCGTTGTCATCAAATAGCTATTTTTTCACTTATTTCAAAAAAAAAAAAAAAAAGAATTTTTTGCAGAAACTGTGTCACAGAAAGAAAGGAACCGTTAGTGCGTAAGCAATTGTATTCTCTTCCACTTTTCATTCTTTCATCATTTTGTTTTTATTTTTTACCATAACATAATTCGGTAACTCAAATTTTCAGGCTTTTTTAGATTTTTTAATCTTTTCCATTTTGTTGCGATATAATTAGCCATCTTTCTAATCAGTTAAGCAATGTCATAAGGGCAGAGAAGTCAAAAGTTGCAAAAGATTTTCAATGTCTTTCTGACTCAAATAAATAAATAATCCACATTGAATTGATAAAATGTATCATCAGCAAAAGAAGTAATAATTTCGGAAAACTTTATAACAATTTTGAAAAAACGACAAATTTAAGGAATATATAATAAGCAACAAGAAATTAATTGCATATTCCTCTCATATATCAAAACACTTAAGCTACAGTAATATTTTTGCACAAAATTAAAGTTAGGAGGGAAGAAAATGAGACTAAGTGAATAATTTATTTCCAACCAACAAAATTCACATCATCAAACTAACCCATAAACATAAATAAATTATATCAATTAGTGATGGAAAGATAGAAATAGAAAGGAAGACATGGATGTCAATACAAGCATTTGTAAATAATATTTCAACAGCACATCAAAAAATTCATTTCATCAAGTCATCATAAGTACTATCCGTCTTTCATCCCAATAACAATGAAAAACAGAAGGCAGTTCTGTTTGTTCGGAAGACTACCTGTTAATGCTGTTACTGTGTGGAATTTTTGGACCCTGCATATAATGATCTTGTAATGTAAAACCATCAATTGTGGCCGAAAGATGCTTTGTTGGTATCTGCGAAAATTTCTTCGCCCCCGAATCATACCTTAAAGAACAAACAAGTAATCAAATCAATAATTTGAAAAGGACGAACTAGGATCGATAACCGATAATAAATCGATCTCAGTTTACGTCAATGATCGGACGGGACAAACTTTTGCAGTCTACTTTGATACTACCTTGAGCAGTGAACAAAAAGAGGGGAAAAACTTTTCTTTTTTTTCAAAATCACAGAAAAACAGTGACTACAGGTTGCTCCGTCGTACCATTTCGCCTTAGTTAACTAGAGATAAAATTAAAACTTGTTGAATATAGTAATACTACTTCTGCGAACGATACCTGCATTCGGCTTTACTATTTATTTAGTGCTTAATGTCCTTCTTATGCTAACGAGGCACCGCATACCCTAAAATATGAATCGAAGAAGAAAGCATACTTGAACATAAGATTTATCATCGACTCATGACAAATATTAGGGCCTCTTCCATGAATACGATGTGCGGTATCTGATTGCTGATCCCAACTATATGCGCCTAAATAGCGACATTTTTGATCCCGGAACAGCAAAAGGAAATGCTTACTGTCACTTTTTGCCAGTTCACCAAGCACCTAAAAATTGTCAATTAGCATACCAGGTATACTATGCAAAATTAGACGTTATGTTATAATAAAAAACTAAAACTGACATTTGGCAACCGTCAAAAGACCTCTGCACAGTTTTCACTAAAGTGTATTTTGTTAGAGCTATCTGAAATTCATCAAAAATACGCAATCCAGGTTTCACCCTTGTTTCAAAACAAAAAAAAAAAAAAAAATAAAACAAAAACAGCCTACTTCAGCACGCTGTTTATCCCAAACAGTTCCAGGGAATACCGAATATTGCAAAGCATTTATAATCATTGATCGATTAGACTTATGAACATATTTCGAAAACAATTTTAGTGCTGTAACCGGAAAACATTAAATAAATGAACAATAAATGGACAATGAACACAGTAATCGAATATTCTATGTGAATAATAAGCAAATACTAGAAGCACACTCTCACAGAGAACTGAGCAATGACATTTACTTGGTTCAGCAGTACTTGGTACAGGAATACGAGCTGATGATGGTGCACTACTCTCTTCAAAGCTACTTTGCGGTCGACCTGAACGCTTTATTCGATGATTCGTTCCTTCCATCTTCAAAGAAAAGAAAAATTCGTTCTTGTAAACTATCACAAATTAAAGAGATAAATGAAGAATACAATAAGCTGAAGATAGAAGCCTATATTATTCCATGAAACATTACCCTTAAAAAAAAAAAGAAAAAAAAAAAAAACATCTTCACTTTCTCATGATCACTTTCTCTTTTTGCCGTTCCTGCATTCTTATTTTTCCCACCTTTTCCGATTAAATTTAATACGGCTAAATGGCAGAATTTTCATAAAATAATATTATCGATTTTTCTTTTCATTTTCTTAAAATAATAGAAGTATGAGAATAAAACATAACCGTGCTTTTCGGTCGCTGTACTAAAGACAGTTGGTTATATCCTCGACCACTAGGCAGTTCAATATTTTCCAACTCCTTTTCCATCTTTTTACGCTTGTAATCATCTAATATTCTCTGCCTGACATATAATAAGTGAAGTGAACTTCCTGTTTCGCCAATATAAACTTAGTAAAGACTAGAAAATAAAAAATGACCTTTGTAATTCACGCTCACGCTTCCGTTGTTCAGCAGCTTCCTGCCTTTCCAATTCAGCTTGCCTACGTTCAGCATTTTTAGCTTCAATTTCCCCTACTTTTTGTTCAATTTGTTCACGACGTCGTAAAGTTTTCGCTAACAAAGCTTCACGTTTTGCTTCCATTTCGGGAGTCTATAAAATATGCTAGCAAGCTAAGGAGAACTATAAACTAGAAGTACTATAAAATATTACAAACTGCTCACATATATATAACACATGAAATTTCAGCCAAAATTTAAAAAATGAAATTATGGAGAAGGCCGCTTCTTAAAAACACGACTATTATCATAAACACCAGCAATAGTATACCCACATGTGGTGAAAATATCCACACTCGAAAAATCAGCATGAAAGCAGCAATCAATATGTTTTTTTTTGTAAAAATATCCCTCTTTAAATTCAAATTGCACAACCCTATCCAATCGACTGTGGTAATGGGCCCTTTCAAGCTGAAACTTCTGGGAAGAATGTCCCACAGCTTTCCTACATTGAGTAACCGTTGTTATTTACAATCAGTTATGATTCTACCAACGATAAAATTTAAAGAAGAGGTTACTTATAGAACTGATAAAAATAGCCACTGGCTAATGATTTAAATTATTCTTCTATAGAATATTACAGCATGAAATTAAATGGTCTAGAAATGCAACTGACTAACCACGCTGATAACAGGTTTATCGGCTGCATCATCAACAATGAACTGTGAAGCACGCGTAGATGAAAGCTTTCTGGGTAGAGAAGGTACATCGGCATTTGTAGATGAAATGGGATCTTTCGGTGGGCTTTGCTGATGCCCAGGTTTATCATTTTCTTCTATAATATAAAATATATATCTTATAGCAACCAAGAATCTTGTTATTCAGGCATGTAAAAAACATAAGCTACATAAGAAAATTCCCTTTTCAAAAGGATAATTAGAACAGAACATACAAAATAATCAATTCGCAAGCTAAGTTGAAGAGATTTCCTAATTTATACAGGCTGTGAGCTATGATCACATATATTTACATCGCAATACATGTAAAAAGAAATCTATCCAAAAAATTATTAAAATTTCTAATATAAAAACCAGTAAATGTAGAAGTATAATAAATGCATGCAACTTCAAGTACGTTAAAAGAATTTTGAAAATATTGCAAAAATAGAAAAAAAAAGCTTACTCTGCTTGGTGTAAGGATCGAAATCGGTTTGCTGAAGATGCTGCAGCACATTAGGTTCTCTTTGATGCAAGGATATGGACTCTACACCTTTGACACCATTTATATTTTCAGATGCTTCCGATGACTGGCTCTAGGAAAATAAAATGTTTGAAGTTTCAAAACTTGAACCAACAACTTTCGTTCGGTATCTCAGAACCAAAGAAATTCATGTAACGAAACGCCAGTGTTAAAAAATTAAGATGGATTCAATCAAGAAGAAAAGTTATGGTACTTGTAGCTGTGAAGGAACGCCTGGTAAGAACTCAGGTTGATTCGATAGATCCATTTCACTTTTCGTAAATGTTCTATTTTCCCAAGTACGTCTTTGTGGCCGTATCACCTGCCCCGCTTTATACGTAAGACCCCAATTTGTCAAATTGCGATTTATTTCAAGCGATGGATCCAAACGACTCGACGATGCCTAAAAAAAATTTACGGGGAAATAGATGAATCGAACAAACCTAAGCTGAAAATAATTAAAGTCCGAAAACTACAAAACACTAAACTTATATAAAGAATTCGCACCAAAATAGGACTAAGATAAGCAAAACCAGAACTAACATCATTCCGATGAAGTCGAAATGTATTGTGTGCAACTGCAGTGGAATTAGCAACAGCATTAGTAAGCACAAATGGTGAGCCAACAGCAGGATGTGTACTAGTATCCTGTGAATGTAAAACGTATGAACCATCCAGGTTCAGTTGATACTGTGGTGTTGATAGTTGAGAACCATGAACAACCTGAGATGCATACACAGGCACTGTCGACTGATAGTCTGGTTGATTGGTATATCCATTCAGGGGCAACTGCAATAAACGATTTCAGCACTGACGTCACTAGTCAAATCAGGAGAAAGCAAATATTTTGAACCAGCTAAAGTCAAGAAATGCAAATCACTCATAATAAACCACAAATCTCTTACAAAAGATAGGTACGAGAAATGGGTAAGATTATTACTGAAAAGTAACCGGTGAATCACTAAATATTCTAGGAAATCAGAAGGGATAAACCATTAGTCCCTAGATTTTACTGAAGCTAAAAAAAATTTTCCCCAATTTTAGGTCTCTAAGAATTCCTGAAATTTGAAGTATAGAATTGGGACCTGCAGTGGATGCGTAGGGAACGTTTGATTTTGATCTGATGTAGACTGTCCGAATAGCTGTGGTTCTACAGGAGTCATATAAGGTGTTGCGTAAGTATGCTGCTGTGCTTGACGCATCGATTTTACTGCATTATGTGGCAGAGTTGCATAAGAACCATTAAGCATGTGATTTGCGTCATTGATCAAACCAAACTCTGCAAGAAACAATGACAACAAAACACTGTCATTAAAAACTTTTACTTCTAGATAAGCATGATTTTTACAGCAAATTATTGGAAATTTGTTCTTTTATGAGCAAAAAAATGACTTATTCTGTAATAACACAGTTGTATATGATCAGGAAGAAATCCCAGAAATCGCATTTAATATTTCTGAGAGTAAAGTGTCTGATATTAAGAATAAAATCTACTAGTAATAATTTAACTAGGTGAGATCTACATAAAAGACAAACTTGTCACTAATTGACTGCTTCAGCTATTTAAAAAACAAAAAGAAAAAAAAATCCACATACATAGAAATTGCATGATTATGACGGAAAAAACAATGAATACCTGTATGGATAGCAGGTTGAGAAATGGCATGTGTCATCTGACGTTGTTCGTCTACCTGACGACTCAAATGCTCCTGCTGTACCGACATCTCTTGAAGTCGTTTCTATAGAGGGAAGAGAGAAAATAAGTTACAAAAAGTGAAATAAACTTGAACAATTAAGTACAAGAATCACATACCTTCAAATCCTGTACAGTTTCCTTCAAGAAAGATAATTCTTCTGATTGGTGTGTTTGAGAGCTACCTATTTCACTTGCTGCACGTGATCGTGCATCGGAACCCTGAAAATTTACGCAAACTTTAAAACTTGAGACTTGTCAACATTAAATTACTCTGTGTTTGATTTGAAAGAATTCCATTTGTTTCTGAAATGTTACTGATCCATTTCTGAAACACTTCAAAACACAATCAAAATTAATACTTTATTTATAGAATGATAACTGGTATCGCCAACTGCAAGCTGATGATCATAGAGGAAATAGATAACCGAACTCGCCTCAGTGACTAATCTGTTTCAAATTTTTATTCGATCAATATTTGGTAAAAAGAAGTGGTTCGCAAAACCTGACCCAAGACATTACCACCTTCAAAATCAAAATAAAAGAGTACTTTTTCCAGACGCTGCATAAGTGTGAAGAATGCATCCTTCTGTTTCTGTGCACGCTCTGACTCATTCTGATTTCTAAAAATGTAATTCATATGAAAAAGCCTCCAAAACTGAAATTTACATTTGCACCAAGGATTTTGAAGCAGCAAGAATTAAAACTTATCCTACGGATTATGAAATTACAAGTTCCATTTATAGTCCAAAGATAAGAGAAATAAAAGATGTTGCATATAATTTGCACCGGTTTCATAACCAACACTTATATTACGTTATCTTACTAGTTATATCAAGATTACCTTACTCTAACATATCAAGGATCAATTTATTTTACATACGTTTTCAAATAACGCTTTTTTTCATGTTCACGTCGCTTTTCTTCCAATGCCAAACGTATACTTGCAGCTGGCATTGAATCACTGCGAATGTATGTTCCTCCTTGCGAAAAACCATCCGTACCGCTAACATGATCGCCACATTGCGTCGAAAATTTAAAGAAATGTAAATATATAATTTTCAACTAATGTTTAAAAAAAAATGCTTCACATATTTAATTGCGGAAAATCGTAACTAAACATTCTATAATGCGCTTCCAAGAAACCTCCAAAAGTTCATCAAGGTAACAACACAAATATCCATATGGTTTATCCTATCAAATCAATTTTTCCCAATTTTGATACCGAAGAATTCATAATACAATATTACTTACTAATTCACCAAAGTTGGTCTTAGAGCCAGCAAAATTCTTTTGATAATGATGTTTCATTGATTCACCCGAGCTACAATTATATAAAGTAAATACTATTTGAACAAATTCCGAACATCAGAAGAAAACTCATTTCTTCAAATTACCGAAATATAAACCATATACGGTCATTTCTTTGTCTCTCAGATCAGAATTGAAATTATCAGATTAGAAATTATATCAGCACTGAAAGTAGTTCTCATTTATTAATAACATCTTAAGTCAGTTGAAGATACTGTTAATCATCTTTTGCTCTATACAAACTTCCTTGTTCAAGCAAGAATCTAGCACTATAACGAACAATTATTTTCTTGAAAAACTTTATTATTTTTCTGATAAAATAATCAATGATATTTCTCAACAGCACTTCATACTTCTGATCAATTTTCAGCTGCTTAAAAGTAGGAAAAAAGTGAGAAAAATTACAACACTAAAAGTTCAGCATGCAAAAGATTACATACCGATTGGTCATTAGTGAGTCCGAAGACATCGCAGAAAATGCTAAAATAAGAAATCTTTCACTGATTATATGAAAAAATTTCAGAGCCAATAAAAACTGGAATTACTGCCAAATTTCTTCACTTCAGTAATCATTTTCAAATACATTTATAAATCGAATTATTTCGTAGATTAAATTATAATGTAGTAATGAACTGACAGGAGAAAAGACCGAAGATAATAAAGAACGAATATTAACTTACTTCGTGAAATTTCAGGTTGGAAACGAGATCTGAATTGATTAAGTACTTTATTTGGAGCAGTTTGCGATCGTAAATTAGGTATGCCATTTACTGGTACGAAACATCTTGCACGTAGAGGTGATGCCTCTATAGGACTTCCAACTATAACAGAAAAAAAATATTGGTCAAAAGCCAGCAATCAAATCCTTTTATATAAATTATTCAGGGAATTCGTATAAATTTTTTACCATTTCTTACGCCATCTCCTTCGAAAATTTGAAAAAGATCAGCTAAAAAGGCGTTTACATTTGGTTGTAAACTTTCATGAAGGTATAGAATATCCTCAATTTCGAAGTGAAATGGATTCCATGGTAGATGGGAACAGAATTCCCTAAAATATTTTTAAAATCGAAAAAATATTACATATCCTTCAAAGGTACCATTCATAAAAACTTACATAAAATCTAAATCTGATTTAAGATTTAAAAAAAAAAAAAAACAATTATGATTCAAGCAAGATCAACAACTTAGCTTTAAATCACGGAAAGACTAATCAAGAAGTTAACCGAAGAGAAAAGCCAGAAATACGAAAAGATAGCGATTTACCTAAGGAGCATTAAGTTGTACTGACAATCGGCAAGACTCATTGGATCGTTGAAACAAACGTCTTTAAAAAAATGGTTATTCAGCCTTTTTGTTCCCGAACTGTGCTTAATAAAATTTTAGATAAACAAAAGAATGCCATTCTGTTGGCATAAAAATTTTAAGATCAAGAATAGTTAACTTCAAATTACTATAAATATAGCGAAAAACAAGCCTCGTAAGATCATTTCATTAGGTCGATAAAATCCAACAAGTGCGCAAATGCAAGCGCCATCACACATATCCTCATATAGATCTTCCATTTCGGGCACTACCACTGACCCATCTGAAATCTTTCGAATAACACAGGAACAGAGAGTTAACAAGAAAAGTAAATCATACTTTAGTCCACTCAAAAATATAACGCATAGATAACAATATAAAAAATCCAAACTGTATTCAATATATTAAAATGTCACATGGTCAAGCTTGTGCTTTCAAATTCATTACATCGATACGATGTCACCTAATCTTCCAAAGAAAATATTCCACAGTTTATAAGATGTTCATCCTGAAGAAGTGACAAGGGCCTAAAATCCCACGCACAATTAGCTTCTGTTTCTCTTCCCATCATTCCACATCATAAACTAAATCAATTAATTTCAGAATTCAAAATTTATTTTACGAAAAATTTTCAACATTTATAGCAATTATATTCAGTAGAGGACAATTTAATCAAATAGAAAATTTTATATGTCTGAGAAAAGACTTACATTGCTCTCTAGAATTTTTATTCATCATAGTAAATTTTTCCATGTCATCTCGTACCAATAAACAAATTTTATTAATCCAAAACAGCAATGCATCAACACTATCCATTGGTTCTTCTCGTTTATCAACAGTTGTGTAATTCCTACAAGCATCAGATGAAAAATGGACAATTAATGAAAAACGATGAAGTCAAAAATAAATTTCGTCATTTATTTTGTTATAGCTATCATATTTTCATGGCAGTTATAGGAATGCATGTTCACAGTGAACAAAGAGGAAGGAATAGTTTTTTGATCTTTTGATGTATTAGCTATAACCTACCAAATAATTCATTTATTCCGAAGGACTGAAAATGGAAGTGGAAGAGATTTCTAGACAGAAGAAATCCAAATTATTTCCACACCGACTTCTGTTCATTCTGCTCATTAACGAATCCATGTGATTTTATCCACATTTTTTACATTACTCTAATTATACTACAAAAGAAAAAAACTACTTACTGGACAGCTTCTACCACTTTATCAATAGTAATAATGGATCGCATATGTGCAATCATTAAAGAATCCATTACTGCCAAATGGGCAGCCTGAAAAAATTGGAAGTTTCCAACTGACAAAAATTAAACCTGTTAGTTTTAAATAACATCGACAAAAAATGAAATTTTAAACAAACTAATTGAAAGGGATATTAAAATGATCTCAAAAGTGATCAACCTGATGAAAAGGTTCAATAGTTGACAGCATTGCCTCAGTGATATTTGCTTCTTCGCCGGATAACGTGATTGGAATGGAATGACTTGCCAAAGCTCGAAGTACAACGCTATGTGGTTTCTGAAATTTTACAGTGTACTGTAGTCATCAAATGGATAAAGTCTTGAATTCATAGGAAAAGTTATTTTCTCATGCATAACAAGAAAAAAGAACAAATTTTCAGAAAAAAGTAACAGTAAATTATTAAGCATCTTTCTAAATTTCAAATATTTGGAATCTCACTGAAGATTTCTCGATCTTATATGCCAAAGCATAACATTTAGCATTCACGTACAACATTTGATTCAAGTCTTTGCATCATTTATATGTTACATCAACCAATATAATCTTTACAGTTTTATGTGACTCAAAACATACTATATAAAAAGAACAATTTACACCTCTGAAAATAGTATTATTGACCATAACTTACATTAAGAAGACTTTGGTCCTTAAATATTTTAGCTGCAGCATTACTGTACAACGACGCATTAGTTAAACCCGTCACTACGGCTGCTTCCAGCCAAAAAGTATTCTGAAAAAAGACATGCTTTTCCAAACTGTAAAAAACAGTACAAAAACTGGCTTTTTATATAACTAAAAACGATTTGTTAAACAAACTGCTATAATTTTCATATGCTTTTACATTAGCCAAATGATCTAGATGTTTCGCTTCATTCACTGCCTGAAATATTGCTGTTGAATCGAACCAGAGTTGAATTCTAACTTTTCATAAAGCACTCTTTCATGCACTCTAGTTATACGAAAAGTAATTGAAATGTAATTCAACTTGAACGAAAATGTACTTTGATTCTAAAATTTTCTTCTTGAACAAACACAGTATAAAGTACTAACATTGCTGTTCTCTTTGATCGGCTTAATTAAAAGATCAGGAGCAGTACTTCCGTAAACATGTCCAATTAACCATTTCACCGATGCACTTAATTTACCCTTCAATATTATCACAATAGTAAATTTTACACTGAGATAATATGTGAACGCAAGATAGAAAGAATATTGAACCAACCCATTCATTTCACTTCATTGCTTAACACAAAAACTTTTACTTATGATTTTTACACTTATAACAATACTTCGACTCTTGTACTTAATTCTTTCCATCCATTTATAGGACTCTTTATTTTGAATACACAGAACAAAATAAAATGCGACTACAGTGCTGCTTAACTAACTAATTAATTGATTTTTGAATCCAACGAATAATTTTTGATTTAAATTTAAATGTGAAATTTCCAAACAAAAACCTTTTCAACATTATAACAATTGATGGGAGTGATCCCGGGTAACGGTTCCTCCATGCTTCTTGTTCGTTTTAATGCGACCCCAGTGACCCGAAGCCACACGCTGACGAGTGCAGCCACCCGTCTACTAAAACTTAAAAAAGAGAAAAAACTGAGAGAAAAACAGTAATAATTAACATTACATAAATTTCATAAAATTTAGTTTTAAAATGTTTTTTAATATTAAATCCACAATTTAAGCATGGAAATTATTAAAATATGATAATTCGTGACAAAAAAAAAGTAGAATCAATTACATCTTTTGAACAATAATTTGAAATAGAATCAGCCGCTTTTACAATAAAAAGTCAAGTATTATTTGAACAAAAGACTCGACATACTAGCACAATGGTCTTTTTTACTAAAATATCGAATGTTATTTCGGATGAAAAACAATGAAAATACTAAAATAAAATGACTGATAATTGTAGAAACTTAATATGAGGATAATTCACGCCATTTATCGCTCTGACAGATGAGCAAAGACTAAAAAATAGTGGAAATATTAAAAACAAAATTATCCTGAAATTAAGCTTCCATAATTATCGATCATTTTGCTTCAGTAGTTTTTGTAATTTTTTTTTTTTTTTTTCTAGTTCACGTCGAAACATACAAATAATTTTGGGCACAGGCAAAAAGAAGAGGTAAGAACAACCTCGCCTAAGCGTAAAAAACCAATTTTATATTAAGTTCGGCAAATAACGCAGAAAAAATTTGAAATATATAAATATAAGCATTGAGATGAACGGTTTTTGATAGATAAACTGTTGTTTAAGCATGCAACAATTGGCCAGTGCGATTATTTTTCCAACAATCAATCCACTGAGATTATAAGCGGAAAAATGAGCGCTCTAATGTCAGCTGACTCATTTTATTACACATCAGCTAGTGTTATTGCTCTAAACAAATTTCAATGGAAATGTTTCATAGTTTAATTCAGGACCACTTTAGCAATGCCATGCCATATCATGCTTATCATAAATAATCATAATTAATGTTTCATAAATTGATGAATTAATCGAGAATTCACGAAGCGATACTACACCAGACCATGTTTGACACAACAATATTGTCTTTTTTCATTAAGCCACTTTTAGTAAATTAATTTTATGCATATTATTAATCAATTTCTCTTCTATCCTGAAAAAAAAAAAAAACAATCATTCCTTTCGATACTAGCAATTTGTTGAAAAAAGACTTGAATTTACAAACTATTGCAAGAAAAAAAGAAGTAACTTAAACTAAAGGTCAGGAAAAAAAAAAGAAAATTACATGGAACTATATTGAAATACATATGATTGAACAAGTCTTTCAAATGAAATGTTTATGTGTATGAGAATAATCGAAATATTTCGAACAATTTTACAGCATTCGGAATTCAGAATGTGACACAGCAAAAAATGTTCCGGATGTGTTAAATTCTGTCACTTTTGGATTTTCTGCATTAATTTTGCAATATCATCAAATTCCTAAATTTTCAAAGCTCTTTCATTGATTTATCATTGCAAAAGGACATTATCTCATTTGGCAATGCTTGTCATTCGTTGATTTCCTCACAACATACATTATTATATTATATTTCATCATTTTTATCAATCCCCGCTACTTTTCCGTTGACTGTTAATGACTAATGTACTACAATCAGTTATAATCCATAAAGTGCACGGGAAAAGAATAAGTTGGTTTCGTTTCTTCTTACAACAATAAAAAATTTGAATTTCAACAATTTCACATCAAATTTTCACATAAAAGGAAAAAGAAATCCTGAATTAAATAAAGAGACATCTTTAGTTATGCAATGCTAGCAACAACAGAAAATACCTGTACTTCTGATTTATAAACAGGAATGCAATGATTTAATGAATTCAATGTGAACAAATGCGCAAAAGACTAGAATTAATAAAATATAAAGCAGAAATATTTCGACAGTTATAAATTATAAATGTAACCGAACATCAGCATCCATCCTACGAATTATTTTCAAAAAAAGAATCGGATTTCGTTTAAAATTGTTTATTTTTCTTAGTTTTCGCCGAAAATTTCGATGTTACTTCATTGCAGAAATATGTTTTTCCAAAGAAAACTATAGCTAGCCGTGTAAAGCCATACGTAAATTACGGCTAAACGTGATATTAGACATTTATATGCAACATTTCGTAAGAAAAATTATAAGACAACATTCATTCACAGTTCATTTTATTTATTTGTAGCTTTTTAAGCCAAAAAGTACAGCCAAATTTGTTTGAAATTCATGTTTAAATTAAATCAATAAAGAAACCTTTAACCAACACCGTTATCCAACCAACACCGCCATTTTAAATCGATGACACCATTTGACAAACTTGATCAGATACAAGACAATAACAAATGACAAACATAAATGCGGACCAACAACAATGTGTACAGATTCACAGCGCAAATTTTTATGTCTCATTTGTGTTCGTCTAACAATTCAGAAAAAATTGCTATAATTAATTCGAGTGTTCATTTTATGATAGTCAAACATAATTGGGCACATAGTAATGCATTAATCATTTTATCATGGATAGTCCAAAATATTTATTGTATCTGTATTTTTAAAATATATCCTAAATAACTAGTACAATTTTCAGAATTTAAAGAAAAAAAAAGTTAATTTGTCTATTCATTTTTTTCTATTAGCATTAATTTCTATACAGTAATATTACCTTAACTATTCCTTTTTTTCTTAACAGCAAATTATTTCTCTATGTTATTATTGAGAAATATTTCCCATTTGTGGTCAAAATGATGAAATTATGAGTTCTACTTTTAATTAATCTTATCATTTATAAAATATACGTGCAAATTATTGTTATTTAAATAAAAAATTTCTAAGTATTTTATCAGGAAATAAAAAAAAAGCAAATGAAAGAAAAAATTTTTCTCTTTAACAACAACATTTAACAAATTTGAATTAGAACATGGAGCGTAAATGAGCAAAGATCGAAGAAATGGTACAAATGTAAATTTCAATTTTTTCACTTCACTCTTTTTCTCATTTCTTTCCATCTTTCCTTTCATTTTGCTCATATCACAAAATGATCTCTCGTCTTTTGATAAAATCACAACAAAAAATATTTTTTTGTTCAATGTCAAATGAACCATTTCATTTGAGCAATTATAATTTGATGTAATTAATTTAATTTTTAAAATGATACGAGATCAACATAATGATAACAATATAAAACAAATAATGTGCAATGAAATATTTCTAAAAAAAAAATTGAAAAAAATAAAATTAAATTTCATTTGATTTAAACAATTTATTAATTTGCAATGGGCATAAACTGAATGTATAATATACCTATTATAGACAAATTATTATGCTAATAAAATGTTACATTCGTTATTTCAAAAAAAGCTTCTTCCAATATAAAGCAGTAATTGTTTTTGCTCCATATGTTATTTTATTGATCTCACAGCACGATTGGTGTCACTCAGGAAATCTTGGCTAATATTTATGATACTGAAGAATTAATGGAGTTCGAATAATAATTTGATTTGACTAGCTTGACTTAATCTATGTTAGTAATTTAATCAAACTTTTTGAATTTAGTCATGCAACAACCATTTGCTCTATACTAATTATTCAAGGATTGCTTAAGAAAAAATAATTTGATCAATTATTTATTCACCAATTATTATGCTTGGAATCTAAGTAAAAAGTTCAATTTTTCTTCCTATTCTATTTTTTTTTCACTTCTATGATTCATTCATATGTTTTATATGAATACAAATATAAATTAAATGTCATTTTGTATGAGAATATTAACTGTCATCGATAAGGAATTAATTACTGCATTAAATATATTCCTAAAACTTTCATAATTTTGAAAATAAAATAAACATTTCAGAAGACTATGATAAAAATGACAATTATTCTAAAGCAATTGTGTACTAGACTTGCAGGCCAAAAGGAAACAAACAAAAAACAATCATATCAATAACAACAATAATAGTAATAACAATAATAAAATGCTATAATTGAAATGATTAAAATCTAATTTAAATTCATTATTAACATCATTAATTGAGCAAAAATACTTCGAATGATTTCTTCTCATTCGTTAAGCCTTTACTTTGCTATGTTTTTTTCAATCGAAACCTAATTAGAGCTTGTGTGTAGTCCCTTCTATTGAATAGTATAACGGGAAGTATTGGACCATTTGCTTTCACAATTTTTCCATTCGATCGTTCACAACAAAATCTGAAATTTCCACTTATTTTTCAAATTTAATTTTATCCTCTATTAAAAAGATTTTTTAACAGTGATAAAATTAAACAACATATATTATCTTATGCTAATGTTATCTAATTTTTTTCAACAAAAATTAAATATTCTGAAAAAATGAATATAAAATTTTAAAAATACTGCATCTTTCGTGCAATAGTTCCACAATTTGTTAATCTGCTTTTTTGTTGTGAGGAAAGAAAAAAAAAAAAAAAAAAAGAAAAAAAACGAGAAAAGAATAGAAGACCTGTATCCGGTTAATCTCTTATCAGCAACAGCTTTTATCTCTAAACCACCAAAAATGCATCCTTCTGAACAAGTACCAGAAAGTGAAGTTATTTCCATTTCAATAATTTCATGTTGTCCAGCCTGTTGAAATCATTTATTAACAAGGTAAAAGGAAAACTGCAAATTGAGTGGAATAAAATAATTGTAATAATAATAATAATAAAATAATAACAATAACAATAAAACTGTGATACTAGTAATAAACAATTTAGCAATTATTGTAAAATTAACAATTACGAGGTAACCTTAATTTGATAAGAAATGAAGATGAATTACCTCAATCCACCAGTGACAGTAAGATATGTCATCACTGTAGAATCCAGATTTACCCATTTTTGCATTTAATATTTGCCATTCAGATGTTGCACGTAAATTACCACCACAACCAAATGAATCAGCCTTAATTAATTTTATTTACTATAATTAACAATTTTAGCAAAAGAATTATGAGGACTGAATTGCTCTATTTTTTTAGTGGACAAATGCTTAAAAAAAAAAAAAAAAAAAAAAAAAAAATACATCAAAAATAATTTAATGTGCAAAAAAAAAATACGTCGAAGAAGACAGACGAAAATTTTTATTTCTCAAAATAATCTAAGTGAAACTTTTTGGAGAAATAAAAAAGGAAAAAAATTTTTGGAAAATTTCTTTCATTCTCTCTCTTTATTATCATTTTTATTTTCTAATTTGCACTTATTTATTTGATTTTTTTTTTTTTTTTTAAAAAGTAATTTCTAACAAACAATTGCTTGCTTAATAATGCATTTATTTCTGTTGCAGTGGTATTATAATTCCATTATTTTTAACTATTTGAAAACATTTTGTTGAATTAATTATATCCAATAAATTTCATCGTTCTTTCAAATTTATGTGAAAAAGAAAAAAACAATGTTATATTTAGAATAAAATTGTGGAAACTTTATTTTCTTATCAAAATCAAAAGTAAAAAAAAAATTTTAAAGTGACAAATGATATTTTTCAATAATAAATGAAATTTTGTTATAAAATTTTTTAAATGATAGCTTTTGTTATTTTTTCTAGTATTTTTTCTTACTATTTTTTGCTACTTATTTTGATTTATATATTATTCTTATTTTAACATTTCATGAAAATTTAAATTATTTACTCCAAAATATTATTGCACTTATATCGAAGTAAAAGTAATCATTTATCTCGTTAAAATTTTTATTTATTTTTCTTTTTGAATTTGATTTTTTTTTTTTTTGAAATACATTAGCAAAAGTAGTTGCAAAAAAGATCTCAGTAATTAGCTGATTAAAAACAAACCCGCCGTTCGCAATATCTTCCACCGTACCCGGATGGGCATAAACAACTATAACAATCTCTTGGATGTTGATATCCATTATTCATGCATCTGATGTTGTTTTTGCATTGACCTGTTGAAAAAAAAAAGTTAATTTATGCCTCAGAATATGAATTAGGATTTAAATTTCGATTTGGAAAACCATTCATGCATTTTGGTATTAATTTTGCAAATTTTTTTGATAAACTTTTGAAATTATTTAAATTACTTTTGCTAAATTACTCGTGAAGATTTTCTGGTAGGTGCTATTATTATCACAATAATAATTATTTTTGTTCTTTTTTTTTTGTTTTTTAAAGCAAGAGATTAATTCATACTTCAGAATTTGCAAAAGAAAAAAAATGAATCGAAATTTATTCTTGGGAATCAATTCATGTTTACAATGATCAATTCAGCAAAGAAAACATGTTTATGTCTTAAAAATAGAGATTTTTTTATTTTTTATAAGCTGATAATATTTTATTTTTAAATTTAATTTTATTGCATAACAACAAATTTTTACTCAAAATAAAATTCAATCCAATGCTTAAAGACAATATTAAAATAAATTAATATAAATAATTTCGCATCGATTAACGGCGGAAATTTTAAGTGATAATTTCAATGGCATGAAATAATGAAAAATAATTTGATGAAATTTTTATGACATTTGTTGCTTTACTGTACTAGCAAATGAAATTTGACATACCTAAGCATTTATAATGTGTATTCATCATGAGAATATCAATGAATGTTGGCCCAGTACCACTACCCATCGTATCTTCATACCACGAATACCGTGGAATAATTGTTGGACCACTATTACTTGTAAATCTAAAACAATATGGAAATTCTTTTATTTGACTATTAACAAAATCTGAAACATTTGATAGTAAATAACTATAAGAAAAAATTCTAAAGAAAGCTATTAAACTTTAGTATACTAATTTAATCAAAATTAAGTATAAAAAACATTTTATATATTTATACAAAATTTTATAATTCATATCAAAATTAAAAATCGTTATTTAAATTGTATTTTTTAAATTAAACTTACGCTTTCTTGCTATAATGCATTACGCTACCATAGTCATATGGAAGTCCATAGTTATAATTATCTTCACGCGACGAACGCATAAAATTTGACGATAAACCATCCTCAAATTTACGCATTAATCAATTTTAGAACAAATTAATTATTTAAATGATCAACGGTTTTCATCAAATAATTAAAATTAAATAAAAATACTTGAATACTGGATGAATTATTTAACAACTGTTCATGTATATGTAAGTTCTCGATAGAAATGTGATCATAGTGGCAATGTTGTCACATACTGTCACATCATATCATTGCATTAAGATATGCATTGATTTGAATGATTACTAATTGCTAATAATTCTGATTGTTTGTCTGTCTATTATTCTCATGGAGTGAATAACTGAGTAAATAATATAAAAGCTATATATGATAACAACAATAATGAAGCAGTAATAATAATACAATAATTAACAATAATAGTAATAGCAATGGAATTTAATTCATTTTTAAAATAAAATAAAAGCTAAAAACTCATATTTCTGTAATTTTTCATTCAGCAATTTATTTCATCTTATTCCGATTCTATCTGTTCGTTTTTTTTTTTTTTTTTTTCTTGAGAATTTTCTTTTAGCCAAAAAAGATAAATATATTTACTTGGATATTGTTAAATTTAATCCAAATATATTCATCGCGGTCCGCTCGGGTGTGAGTGTGCAAGAAACCTAATGCATGGCCAATTTCATGTGAAATTGTATGAATCTAAAATTGAATTTATCACATTCAATTTAATCATTTTTCCATTTCGAAAAGTGCTTTTGTAATACAAAATTTGCTAAAACGTATGGCTGAAATGAAAAAAATGAAAGAAAGTGAGAAAAATGCTTATGAAACTGTAACGAAAATAACTTTGTAAAATGAGCTTCAAAAATTAGCATCAGTGATAATGGTAAAACAGTGATAAAGTGACAATAACAATATTAATAATTTAAATAACAAACATGTTCACAGTTATAACCAATCGAAACTGGCTGCTTTGTCCATTGCGACATATGGCCAATATAACTGGAGCAACTTGACCCCTGCAAACTTTAGCTATAATTAAATTAAAACAAAAATTCGATTTGTTATCACAGCAATAAATTAATATTATAAAATTTAGCAATAACAAATAAATAAATAATAAATTTATCATATTTAACAATAAACATTTGATACTGGTTAATACAAATTCAATATTATCTTTCAATCAATTATGCACTTTTTATTTGTTTCATTTTATTTATTCATTTATTTAATGAGATATTTTATTAACTTTTAGTTATAAATATGAAAATTAGTTCCTAATTACAATTATAAATATAAATATGAAAAATTATACTAGTTTTTTAATATATATACGAAAAATATTCTTGTAAATATTGTTTTCTTATTAAACTGTCTTATTGTAATTAAATAATTTTGTAAGTTTTTTAAACAAAAGAACTAACTCGAACAAAAACGAGCGCATTTTTTTTATTGCTAGCTGGAATAAAAGTAATGCATGTACTACTTTCCCACTTTTCAATTGATTTCTTTATAATATCTTTGGCGTGCTGTGCTGAAATAAAAAAAAAAAACGCAATCAAAAATTTGATAATTCAGTCTATGAAATAAATAAATGTTTTAATGTCAGATTACCAAGTTAAAATTAGTGTTGGTTAGTGGATTTAATGTTATTAATGCAACAATAAATTTGCTAATATTAAAATTATGTTAATAATGTCACAAGCTAACCTTTTACAACAAATATTTCAATCACTTATCATTTTTTTTATTTAAGTAAAATTAAATAGCTAATGTAAATTTGACTTTGAAATTATTATAAAAGCTAAGAACACATCTAAATTTTTATCATTCTATGAAATTATCTTAGCACACATCAAAATTTAATTGCATAATGCAATAACATTTTAAAGTGTGAGTTAAAAATTTTAAATGAACATAAAATATTAGCTTAACTGTTAGATATTTTCTAAGTTTAATATTTGATAAAAATTTCACCTTAAAGCTTTAAACCATATATGTATGTATTTTGTTTTCAAAAAACTATTCACTTCTCATTTAAAAATTAGTGCATATACATAAATTCTGCAAATTTTTTGAAAAATTTCTTACAAATTTTGCATTATAGATTATATATAAGTATATTAATATATAGTTTTTGTATAAAATTAAAAAATGAAATTATATTCATACAAAGTTTTGAGTCAATTCTATATGGCACAATGCCATCTTGCCAGAAATAGTTATCAGAGCGATAAGCTTGTCGCTTCTTTCGTCCCATTCTGATTGTTCGATTTGAAAATGTCATTGCGTAATTGAATGTTTGATTCCAAATCTTTTCTTGCTGCCTAAGTGACAATATATCGTTTTTTTTTTTTTTTTTTCGTCTTTTTTTTTTTTTTTTTTTGTAATTTCTTTTGCTTTGTTTTTTAAAAAAGTGTTTGTGTCTTATTTTTTTTTAAAATAATTTTTACAAATCTGGAATTTGATAATTTTTAATAGTTATAGATGATATTTTTCTGCATACATCCTCTATAATATAAAAATAAGAAATCCATATTAAAATTTACCAGTATTACTAATTGCTAAAATCAATAATAATTCATTTCATGAAATAATTAAAATACTGCTAAATTTTAACCAAAATAATTAAAATGCTGTTGCTTACATATTATTCAACTGATTCAATTATTTTTTAACATCCCTCCGTAAAAGCAAAAATGACTGCTAGCACAATATCAAAACATTTAAATTTTGCAATTAATTCAACAATGCTTTTTAGCAGTACAATTATAAGTAACTTTTTAAACAATAAAATAATTTAATTAATTTTTTTGACAATCAAAAAAAGAAAAAAGCAAACTTTGTAAGGATAATATCGCCTTCAAATAGGCGTATGTTATTACCCAAATACTGATTAAATGTTCCGCCTGTTGGTGACATTCTATCAGAATTGTTATCAATCGGTTCTTTCCCGATGGCCATCTTATCCGGAACATTTTCAGGATGTTCATTCCGCTAAACTTTTAAATTTGATTAAAAATAAGATGAAAGAGAAGAACATTATTAGATTGTATCAAAATAATAGAAAAAAAAAGAATCGAAAAAAAAAATTGCTAATTGAACTTAAAATAGCAATGGAAAAGAATTTTTTTTTTGTCGTTTTCTAAAATTATAAATTTTATTACTTTCCGAATTTTTTTTAACTGACCATCAATTATTCTATTGATTTTTATTTAAAATTACCACAATTATCTTGTTAATTATCATTTGATAACTTTATTCCATCTCAATAACATTTCAAAAAAAAGAAGATGAAAATTTTTATGTCTTTTTTTTTTAAAAAAAACGATGCAAATAGTATAATTTTTGCCTGTGATAATTAATGACTAACAATAATAAAAGTAAAAAAAAAACTTTTTCAAAAATTCGAAATCATTCACTTTTAATTAAATTTCATTAAATTTAAAAACACTTAAGTATATTAAAGATTAAAAATAACACAAATTAAAAAATGATAACTAATGATTATTAGTCAAAAGAATGTCTATTTTATCACTGTGTTAACGATTGTTCTACCTACCAATGCAGGAATAATCATCGCTGGTGAGATATGGCATAACCAACTGATAAGGGCTATTAAAGCCAGCGGCACTCGTGGCACTGCGGAATAAAACATCCAACTAAAATTTGAAATTAAAAACAAAAGAACAAATATAATTAATATTGAAGACGAAAGATGGCAGAAAAAACTCAATCTCAAATGGTCATTTTTTTTAATTTATAGAAAAAAGCTATTCCAATTTCTTAAAGTAAAAAAAAAAAAAAAAAAAAAAAAAAAAAAAAAAAAAAATTTCATTAAATTTAAAAACACTTAAGTATATTAAAGATTAAAAATAACACAAATTAAAAAATGATAACTAATGATTATTAGTCAAAAGAATGTCTATTTTGTGTAAATTCATTTGTGAAAAAGTGTAAATTCATTAATTATTGATTAATAGGTGCAAAAGCTAGATATTTATTTACATTTTGAAAATAGTAAAAAAAGGGTTTTAAATTTGAAATAGAATTTAATTAGCGATTTCAATTTTCCATAACTCCGAAAATATTCTAGCAATTTGTTAAATGAATTTGAATAACTAGCAAAAAATTTTCGTTTTAGAGAATTTATAAACTAAATGTGTGCGAATAACTTGAAGTAAAATTATTAATAGAAAATATAATCGCATTAAATACTCTGATAATCATTCATGGGGCATTTTAGTAATCCAATTATGATTTTGTAAGTTTTGACATGAAAAATATTAATAACTTACAATTAAAAACATCTCAAACTAAATAGTATACTAATTTTTATTGGTCATCAGACATATCAGTTGTTATCAATCAGACATATCATTTGTTTATTCCTATAAGGCAAGAATTACTAATGCAATGATTCGAGAATTCTGTTTTTTTTTTTTTTAAAAAAAAAAGAAAAAGAAAAGAAAAAATAGCAGATAATAAGAATATCGAAATCATTGCAAAAGGAATTGACATTAGTAATTTGTAGCAATATTTTACTAATACCATGAATCGTATTGATAAAAATGTGGAAATAATAGTTAGGAAAACTTGCAAATTCAATTAATTGTTGGAATACTACAATGATAAAATACGAATGAATAATGAAACAATAGAAATAAATAAAGCGAAAAATTTTAAGTCCGAATAAATGAATTACTGAAGTTATTTTGCTAAAGTATTTTGTCATCACAGAAAAATCAGATTTTTTTCTCTCTACTTTAAAGTATAGTAAGTTAGTGAAAATTCGTTAAATCAAAAAAGAAGAAAATTTTGAAATGAAAAAAGTTGAAAAATTGATATTACACGAAATAAAATAAAATTCCACACTTCAGTTTCTAATTCTTTCCATATGTGTACCTGTACACATATATATATATATATATGTATGACAGCTAGGTAATTTCAGGTTTGGACTAAGTGCAAAGATCAATGTTGAAATTTAATCATCAAATTCCGCAACCGATTTTATCAAGCATTTCCAGTTGTGAAATTTTCCAACTGTGCTAGAAAATACCGGAAGCTTATCAAATATGATTTAATATTTTATTTCTTTTGCAAACGATAATTGCTGCAAAAATGAGCAGTCCAAAGAACATTAGGATTGGCACTAACCTTTAACCTTTCGTAAATTTTTAAAGTTAGGTAAGGGTTCAAAGAGCAACAGTAGTATGTATTGGAAATTTTTTGCTCCATAATTTAATTCGAATATTTTATCATTGCTAATGGAAGTTTACCTGAACGAGTACGGTTGTCCAATTTAAATGGGATTTTAAAATGAATTCTTTTTTAAATTGTCCTATCTGCACAATCACATACTTTTGTCATGTTTTTTCCCTTACCCTTTTTTCCTTTTATATCTGAAATTTAAAAGGAACCTTAAAAAATTCTTCGAAACAATTTAAATGTTTAAAAATTTTGAAATTAAAATTGTTCAAAGCACATTATCTTCGAGAAATGAAAAAAGTTCATCTGATTATCCTCATTAAAATTTTGATAAACTGCAAAAGTTTTATTTTCAAGCAAAATTTTTAAGTGATTAAATCTATGTTATTTTATTATTTTTGATGAACTTCATTTATATTTTATGAACTTTTTTAAATATTTAAAAATTTTGATGAGAAATCATTATGTAATATCATTAGAATCCCTAAAAAATTTTGCTTTCATAAATAATAATTGAATTAAAAGGAATGTATTAGTGAAATTACAACAGTAATATAAATTATCATTGTTGTTACTATTATTATCATTATTACCATTGTTGTTATTACTATTTAATATTATTGTCATTATTATTGTTATTATTATTATCACGATTTATTAGTACTATTGTTAATGTTATTACTATCTTTTATTTTTTTTTTTATTATTACTAATTATTATTAATTATTGCTATCAGTTCTATCATTGTTATTTTTCGTGATTCTTGGCAGATCAATCAATCAATGAATTAATCAATCAATTTCGCTTCTGTCTATTTGGCAACATGTCGTTGTCCATGAGTATATATAAATATTTTTTTTTTGGATGACATCTTTTAGACAATTTATTGTGCTGTTATTGCAGGCAGTAAATATTAAAATGCATAAACTTGTATTATTATTTTTAATTCTAAATTTTTAATTTTTTATTTTAAATTAGTTGTTGTTTTTTTTTTAATTTTTAATTTTAAAATTTTCATTCATTTCAAATTTCGAATTCCTATTGCAAATGTTCCAAGTCACTAGCAAATTAAGTGTATTTCAATGCATAAAGCAATATGAGAATGAGAAAATAAGTTGGAAAATGTCACATACAATTTGCGCCATGCATGCAAAACAAATGTATCCAATTTCATCAACCTACCCATATAAACTCTTCGATGTGCAAACGTGCAACTGCAACACGCAGACACAGAGACGATCGCGCATAAACTCAAATGGCATGTGGGATGCTTTTTACATGTAATGATGTTACCATATTCTTAGCTGATGAAACATTGCATTTGTTTGATGTGTAAAACTTACGAGTTTATATTTCAATATCCATCCTTAATTGTTTACTACAACTATCAAACGTGTGGGTGTGAAATGCTTTTCGAATTCTTACGTAATGTTTACGTCAGCATTTATCTTTTATCTCACATTATGCTAATTTATCAAATTGCTTTTCGTTTTCAAGAAAAAAAGAATTAAAAATTGAAAATAAGCTGAATTATTTTCTGATAGCTTTTTACTCCACATTTAACTTATTTTATTCGAATGCTGAATATATTGAATAATTTTACTAATCTTTTTGTTATTTATGTTATCAATTTCAGATGATAAGAACAATCAATGAATTATATACCAGTTGATAATTCATGGCTAGGTTTACGTTACGATCATCAGCGATTATAATAGTAATAATAATGATAACTTAAACAATTATATGATTACGTACATAGCTTAAATAATCATTAACAAATTTATCATTGGCTAAGTTGATATGACAATTTAATTATTTTGCTCATATAAAACTTGTTACGGTTTCGAATAAAAATTTAATTTATTTCTGTTATGAAAAAATTTTTTTCGATTCTTATACATTTTATGCTTGCTGCTTTGTGCTTGTGTATTTTTTTTTTTTTTTTTTTTAAATTTAAAATAACCTGACGCATTTAAGTACTTGGCAATTTAAGTTGGTTTGTATTAACGTCAATTTTTTAGCAAAAAGTAAGATGAAAAATTGAATTATTTTTTTGACATTATAAAGATGAATGATAAGAATTAATCATTATCAATCGCTGCTTTGTTATTGATTTCAATCAGTTTTTTTATTTGATATGATAATAGTACGAGCAATATTGGGCGCTATCCTTTAGACAAAATAAAATACAAAAAAAAAAAATAAAAAAAAAAAATGATAAATTTGCTAATGTACAAACAGTTGCTAAATGCTAATGCCTAAAAGCAAAAGCACAGCGTTTTCATGGGAAAAAGTAAGTGTAAATAAAATAAAAGTGTAAACATATATATAATATTAGCATATATATTGCATATTAAATAAATTATTGCGTTTCCAGTTGCATTTATTGCCAAGCGCAAATGTCATATCACCATGACAGTCATCATTTTATCAAATGCAGTTATTATATTGCCATACTTAATCGTTAATATTCAATATTTAATGTTTCAAGAAGCTTATTTGTCATATTACCACAATCAGCTATTAATTTATCCGGCGCAACTGTTATATAAGCAGGTATAGTTATTATTTGGCATTGTGCAATTATGATATCATTAGGTGTAAATACTATATTGCTGAGTATAACTGTATTATTGCCAATGAAATCATTGTAATCATTATAGTATTGAATAAAATAAAACTATTATATTAATAAGTAAACTTATTTTATTAGAGAGTAAAATCATGATTTTATAAAGTACAATTATTCATCATTAAACATTAAGTGTTGAAATAGCATATGAGGAACATTACTATGATATTATTATTATTGTTATCACTATTATTATTAATTATTAATGTTCCTTTCCAAAAGTAGTTGAGTTTGTTTATTAAATTTTCTCATACAAAAAATGAATTTTTCATTTTGTTTTTCATCATTTAAACAAATAAAAAAATTTGACCATTAATATTTGTTTTTGCTTTTGTTTTTTTAACAGTGAGAATGCACTTGTAAGATTAAAATGAGAAAACTGTTAAAAGAAGATGTATGTCACAAATGTCTTTATTTGATTTCAACTGATGACACTTCTTTTTTGCTTTTTACACAAAAATTCTCTCTTTTCTCTTTTTTTCTTGCATTTTACTTTTAACTTTGTAATCAATTAATAGTAAATATATTTTGTTGGTGTAATTTTTGTAATTATTTTAAATGGAAAATAATAATAAGTGAAAGGGTGGACGAATTATATAATGAAATGGAAATAATATAATATCTAAATGATTAATTTTAAAAAGATTTAAAGCAAAAGGAGAAAAAAAACAAAGTGAGACCTAATATCGCAATTCCAATAAATAATCAGAAATGTTCTTTTTTTCGATTCACACAGTTTTGGTCAACAAATTTTTTCAATAAAAAAAGGAGCAAATTTTTTGCTGAAAAAAATTGAATTTTTTTTTATTGAT